TATCTTTAATCTGTCACCACAGTGATAAAAAATATACCGACTCAATGCGCCTTCATCATGATAAATTCAAATAAACCACATTCTTTATTCCTTAATTTTCCTTTCTTTTGAAGTCAATTAAAGACCGTTAAAAGTTTTCTTTTTATAAACACATTATATACCTACATATAGCATTTAGCCAATATAACCTTGTTAAAAAGAAAATGTTGCCATCTAAGAAATATAAAAAAGCGAGTGTTGCCCTATCAACCTTACCAACAACATGGATGTCGCTCATAGTAACTTTATTTGTTATATAAGAATACATGTATTTACACGTGTTATCAGCTGATAAGAAGCGAATATCGATCGGCACATAATGTTTACATAGAATATTGATAGCAAGGGACTGGGTGATCGGGTTTTAATCACTGTACAGTGAAATTACAGTAATTCAGTACTATAGAGATGACGGATTAAGAAAGTTGCACCAGCCCCATTCATCCCGTTGGTGTCGTAAGAGCCGATTAAAAGAACAAACTACGCAGGAAAACAGCACTGCAAAAGAAGGAAAACTTGACACAAACCCTATATGAACCCGTTTGTCCAGCGTGGTAGGCCAAAACCTCTTTCTAAGTATCTATCACAAAACTATACCCATACAAATGCGACAAGTAATGAAGCAAAATACATACCTGTATGTAAAAGCTCCATGTATGTTTTTTACATATTTTTTTAAATTGTATACTTACTACACATTGTTTGAAAATTTTAGCGTTCTGCACTTCTTCATATTTTTCCGGGGATTTCCCAAGTGTCATAACTCGGTGTATTACTCATAACTCGGGTGCTGTTGCTCCTAGTGTACAGGAGTTACCGTGATAGGCGTGTGGGAGGGTTAATTCCCATTAACATTACTCGTTAAAGACGGGTTTTCCTCCATTTAGTCATCTAAAGACGAAATTAAAATATGGTTTTGTAATATTGTTGTATTTCTGAAAATAATTTGTATGACGCTAAAGCTTATTGATAAATAATATTACTCACGGCAACTGAATCTCGACTATTAGTTTTCTACCTTATATCCTTCACATAACACTTAAATTACCGAAACATAAGTTTTTGAAATTTGTAAGTACCTTTTCCAGTTTTATTCTTAGAATTTTTTACAGGATTTCTTTTGTTTTCAATATATCAACCTAATGACGTAAACTAGATCCGCTTTTTCAAGAATTTGTGTCAACACTTATAAGAATTACGCGTGTGTAATAGACTTTCTTACTTTTTAAATGAATCATGAACATTTTACTCCAATGCCTAAGAAGGTTGCTGTCCTGCCGTCTCGTAACGACTTAACTGTTGGACCAAGAAAAAGTCCTTACGAGTTGATACAACATTGATATTAACCACTTTGATAAGGATCACTTTTAACAGAAAAATTTAAAAGCAATAAAAAGGGTCAAACGAACAGACGGATCACCTGATGTTAAGTGCTTACCTCGGTCCATGAACACATGGAACTCAAGAGACATAAGTGAATTGGCGATGATAGAATGGGGGAAGGGGGCATTCTCTCAGGGGTGTAGGCCGTGATATCAATACGACTATCAACGTGAGGATAGAAGGCCCATTTGTGCCGAAACACGGCTCTCATCAGACTGAAGCCTAGGGTGGTAAATTTTAGAGGGCGACTTTAGCCTATTTTTTTTTGTCTTACAAAAAAAACCGTACACGGAGAAAAGAAGTCTCGAACATTTTACAAAAATAACAATATTTTACCGACTACGGCACATCTGTAAATGAAATATACCTTAGTAAATATGGATTTTTAAAATATTAAAATAGCGGTTTAACATTAACTTAGTCAAAATCACTAATTCAAATTAGTGATTTTGACTAAGTTTTTTTTTAATCAGTAGTCAGGGCGTCAGGATGCCTTAGAATACGCTCCTCCGTCACCCGGTTGGTCGGCGATTATTTCCGACAGCGGGGACAGCGGTAAAACATCTGTCACTACCGGCTATGGCGTGTATTACAGTCGGCAGCGAGAGATCCTTTCTGATGACTCCAAGGAGGACCCGACATTGTGACGCCCAAGCTGTGCAATTTGGCAAGGCGGTACTCAATCCACTTCTAGTAACCGAGTTCAGGTACTTCCCGAAGCAGCCGTGCCCGGAAAGGACCTGCGTCAGTCGGAAGGAAAGGGTTGCGTGCTGATGCCCTACCTACTCGAAGATGACAGGCTGGAGCGCCTCCACGGTTACAAAGCCAGCACGTGCAGCCTCCAGCCGGGACAACCAACGAGTCATCGTGGCTCAGAGAACGGCCTCACGCCACTTGCGTACCACTTCGGGCGGGGGCCGCCTGGCGCTACTTGCCCAGAATTTAGCCGTCCACCGATATACTTCCGCCTCTAAATCCCACGGGGGCCATCGCTCACGACGCTTTCATAGACACGGTGCGTCAACAGCGTATGGCTCTAATCGTCTTAGCGGTCAGAGTTCGCAATGCACCGTATAGGGCCATTGACCAGACAACCCCCGTGCTACCACACTAAGCAATTTCTTACAAATAAGGAATTGTAAAAATAAGAAATTTAGCAAGAGCCCAATATAATTTATAAATGGTTGACCTGAGGAAAGACTAATATTAATAATATACATTTGTAAAATTTGCATGCCATTTTCATGGTTAAATAGGCCTATTCGATTTATATCAATTTGTTTTACAATACCACGTTATGTACTGCCGCATTTAAAGCAAATAAATATTTTGAATTCGTACAATCGTCTTGTCTCGACACTGGACAAACGCAGCGCCGACAAGTTTTAGAGCAAGCACCTCCCGTTAATCTGGGTCTAAACCGGGGCCTACGTCTACGAGGGCCGAGTTGATCACGATCACAATTTCGTAACAATTCCTATAGTTTTATCAACATTATTAGTATTTATTATCTGTACTTATTTTCAGTTCTCTTTTTTTCTGGTAATTTAAGTTTTTTCTAAATGTTGATCAGCATACAACATAATAATTACTTTCCACAAAGAACTTTTCCACTATACCTAGTTTAAATACTATATTATCTAATAATATCTAATAAACCAGAGTAGCCGATACCGCACAGAGAATCAGTAGGTACACTGAAGTGGAAGTGGGCCGGTCATATCTTCAGGCGGACTGATGAGATCCAGCGACTTGCGACTGGGTGCGCTTGTCTTGGTAAAGGACAAGGCTCTGCCGCCACTGCTCTGGCTTCTGGGGCGAATTTTGAAGATACTTGACTTAAGGAAAATGGCTGGCAGCCAACGACTGCACAAGACCGGGATGGTGGGCGGTCTTTGGGGAAGCCTTAGTTCAGCTGTGGACGGCAATAGGCTGAAGTATTTAAGTTAAATAAAAAACTATTTTTAACATTCACACTATAACTAGGAATAGTCTCTTAGAAGTCGATTTAAAATTCTTTCGTTATGACAAAATTCCATATAACATACGGCAACAATATTTAATACTTCATGAATATATGTTTGAGTAGTAGATAATAATATTTCGACATTTTGGCTCCCACACAATATAAACAAGGGCTCATCATCAATTATAAACTTAGCGCCTAACGAAATTAAACTTAGATGCCTGGGGGTGAAAGGTGAGGCCATCTGTCACAGGGAGACACATCTACCCGCTGTAGAAGGGCCGAGGTACGTCGGTACGAAGCCCGAGGTGTACCCTTTTTTTTCTGTGCGGAAATCCCCTCGCATACCACTTACCAGTAGCAGACTCGAACCAACTAAAACCGCACCCCGTCTCAGGTACCAGTAGTCGGGGAACCAGGTGTACCCTAGAAAGGAAATCCTTGATACCCAGGGATTTTCTTTCTAGGGTACACCTGGTTCCCCGGCTACTGGTACACGAGGCGGCATGCGGATTTTGGTCGGTTCGAGTTCGACATAATCACCGGTGGTTGGTATTCGAGGGATTTCCGCACAGAAAAAAACGGGCCGCCAGACACTTACAGCACAGGATTAACAAAATCTATATGTTCTTCATCACTAAATGACCTCATTTTAATATTTAATACGTTTAGTCCACATTTAAAGGTAGGTCTACTCATCTATATTTAAAATATTTAAGTTGTTTTGTTAACGTTTCGAAAACTGAATAACTTTTATTTAAACAACTCAAAAAGTTCTGCACCTATTGTAGTCAACTTGAATTTTGACACGATATAAATAACACTCTAAAGATTGTTTTTATCAATTTTTCGCGTTAGTTTAGTTCCAAATTTCTCACCAATATGCCACAGCGCATCATTGCTAGGTACAGCTAGTACTATAATAACTTCACACATCTCTAACATGACCATCTGATCCCCAACTAGGTAGTCTGTACTACAGTGACTAGACTACTGATAACCATACTTTTATATTTCTAAGTACATAAGATACACCCAGAAATAACAAATAATTGTACTAATCCCACAATTATTTGACCTGGGTAGAAATCGGATCCACAACCTCTGGCTAAGAAGTCAGGATTATTAACCACTTGACTAATAGGCCTATCATATTACATACGTCAAACTAGTCATCAAACCTATAAATAGCTATTAGCGGTAGACATATGACATTAATTCAGGTTTCCCTTTTGTTTTATGTTATAAATTACTGTTTACTCACAACAATATAGCTATATATTCCAACTTTAGGTTCAGTAGTATGCGAACGTTAGCTGTACTATTCGTTTGCTTAGTGTTTATGGTAGTCAAATATACATCAAGGTCATAAGACCCTGAATAGTTCCTTGCGGGACCCCACCCTATAAAGCATGCTTGACGCGACGTGATTACCTTATCAGTCGTTATATCACCTACCTTTACGCTGAATTTTGAAACCAGATAAGATATATACATATAGAAACTACACACAGCCTTTAAATAAGATTAGCCATTGTAATCTACAGTGTCGAAGGCAGTGGTCGCGTCTTCTGAAATTAATGTAGGCTTAAAGTGCAGTGCAAATTTGAAAATGGGGTTCAAGTTATATCTTCTGATCGCTTCTGTCATCGGTGCAGTTTCAACACAATCTTGTAAGTATTATATAATTGTTTTTTTAGTGTTCTATATCAATAGATCGGAGAGATAACGTCAAAATGGCGGCTAGCAAATTATTATTTGGATAGAAATATAGATATTTTTGTGGAACCCTGTTCCTCCTTCGATTGTATAAATAAAGAAAATGTAGGATGTTGTTAGTTTTGATATTATAATACGTTAAAACTTTTTTATATTTCTATATTTAAATACCGGTGTCCTTGCACCAAAGAGATAAGATCAAAATATACTACAATAAATAATTAGTACCTGATCTGACTCTGTAACAGTCGCGTACAAGCTTAACCAAAGACTATTATCTCTCTCTTTCCATTTTATGAGACCTTTTTAGATACCAAACCCCTATGGCACAGTAAATCAATATTTGTTTTCAATGACACATACCCAATACGATGACATCAGAAAAGCGGTCAATAAAATGTGCGATAGAGAATGTAAGTTGATGATATTATGAGTGAATAATACCTGTTAATTAAATTGATTATATCGAATCATAAAAGTCTGATATTTGTTTAATAAGAACACATACTTTGAAAACAACCCTGGATTTCCACAAATACTATAAATGAAAAACTATAGAGACAGACGCCAATAAAGACCACAGTTGCTGTGTTCCTTTTAAAAATTCGGTTTACTGGTTGTTAATATTGATTGTGGACTATTCAATTTACGAGCGACGAGTAACTCGATATCTTTCTTTAAATCGATAAACGATAACTATGAGATAGTGGTTGTGATGGCCATTTTATTTGTAAGTTGAAATAATTCACTTTAGTATCGTCCTTGATGAGACAGCTAGAACTTTCTGAATCATGAATCCGCTCGCATGGTGCTGTATAAAATGTCTGATCCCTTTCTTTGGCTATGAAATTTTAAATTTAACAATTCAATAACAATATCTTTAATCCCATTTAATTTTTTTATGTTCATTCATTTAATACCTACTGACCTCTGTGGTACTAATTGACTAAAGAAAGTTATAAAAAAATATTTTAAATAGATTCAACCAGAATCCTTGCAAGATTTGCTAATATAAAATTCGTCAGATAATTTTTCCTTTGTGTTTCTGTGCCTTAAAACAAATCCTTTTTATGTCTCTCTCCCTGTCTCACCATTATCTTCTCTTCTTATCTTTTCTATCAATATACATGCAATTTTTCCATCTACTCTCTAAAGTGTCTATTTAACGGCGATAGTCTTGCTCCCTATAGGTAAGTGCGACTAAAGTTCTAGTTGACAAAATGTGGACGTTTAAGATGCTTCTTCTTCTTCGGGGACAAAGGTAGCATTGATGGATGTATGGATACTCATTTCGACCTTCAAAATGAAAGTCTAAATTTACATATAGGTATTTAAAGTTATGACAATAATTCATACGAGTACTAATATTATTAATGCGAAAGTGTGTCAGGATGTCTGTTACCTCTTCACGCTTAAGCCGCTGAACCGATTTAGATGAAATTTGGTATGGAGATAGTTTGATTCTTGAGGAAGAACATAGGGTTCTTTTTACCGCGAAAACCGACACACACGCGGGCGGAGCCGTATGCAAAAGCTTGTTTTAGATAAAAGTTTTGTGGGACGCAATTTCGTGAACACCTTCGTAACTTTCAGCTGGCGTAGCGGAGTAAAAAGACGTAACTATCCAAGTATTGGATAGGATAATAAACGTTAATGTGTGGCCTATTTATAAGAATATCTCTAAATCAGTTCTTATGCAATAAGGTTGAAAATAGTTTTCTCTTGGCTATCATTATTGATTATAAATGCCCTGATAAATTTGTCCTTAACGGTTTAGGTGTACTGATATAAGTAAATTAGTACTTAGGGTTACACAGGAAGAACTAAGTATATAGAGTTTGATGATTCAGAACGAGTAAGAATAAGGAAGAAGGAATCACAAATATAAAAAAGGATTAAGAATTTGTGAAATGTCATTAATAACTAATAATAACTTGAATAATATCATACCTGGTCGTCCGATTTTTAATTAGAAAAAGCCATGGAAATCGATGATGATCATACTTGTATGTTAACTTGTAAATAGTAGGCCAAAACCTCCTTTCTAAGGAGAGGCCTATGTCCAGCAGTGGACTATTAAAGGCTGTTGATGTGTGATGTGTGATGTGAACTTGTAAATACTTACATGTTATAGATATATTTCCCCAAGACAGAACAAATAATCATGTTCCTCATACAATTATTTGTCCTGATTGGGATTTGAAGCCACGAACTGACTGACTGACTGTTTATACTTGACTATTTATTTTTAATGCATTTACCACAAACAATACAACTTAGTTTAACAAGCTTTAATAAATATAATTAGTCCTCTTTTTCCTATTTTCCATTCCTCGGTACTTCTGCTTTAGACAATATTCACTCTCTCCTGAGTCTTTTCCAATTAAGCTGCAATGAAAATACATTAAAAAAACAGCGGCACTCCTGTAGTAAAAGTAAAAATTTGAAAATTTAAAAATCGGAATCCTTAATGGGACCAATATTTGTAGATAATTATATACAGAGGTGTTGGTAACCGTAAGAACGAGTTCAATGGTTTTTCCCATCGCAAAAAATACATTATTTTGTTCGCTGTTCAAAAATGCCCAACGCTCCTATAGAAGTTTTCTCTTCAAAAGCGGCTTTACAATAGTCGTATGTGATGTGAAACATAAACACTAAGCCTCAGGCTTGTTTCAAAAATAGATTCAAGTTAATATGTAGTATATTTTTTAGATGCGATCCAAAGTAACGAAAAATTTTAAACACACTGATAATAACAATAAAAAATCTGAAAGTTTGACATTTGAAGATTTGAAAGATGAAACTTAGGACATGTTCAGACGAATGCGTCGAATGCGCGTTTTGACAATAACCAGCAACACGCAAGCAGAACACGTGTTTTGGTCAAGCTATTGTCATGTTAGAGCGGTTTTTGATTAAACAAGCAGTCGAGGCAATGGCGATCTGCGGCGTTGACATGTTTTTTAGAATATTGGTTCGATTATTTGGCGTTAATTCGTTGATATGAGGCGCGATTTCAACGCAACAACGCTTAATTTTTTCACAAAAGAATTTGGTCATGATAATTAAAAGTCTTGATCCATTTTTTGCTTCATTTTATACATTCTCAAATAAAAGTATGTTAACTAAACAACTAAAATCAATACAAGACATTTCATTGAAATTTCTGTGTTTGCGCCCATTTTTAACTAGTCCAAAACTCCAACCGAACTGCGATAAAACGTGTTTAACCCTTTGTCAACGTCTACGAGTCCACGTTCATCATAAAAAATACATATAGATTAACTTCGCGCCGTCGACGCGCGGCCAACGCCAGTCTTAAAGTGTTATTTTATGTTTGTCTAAAGATAACGAATTATATCTTAAAAATATTGTTATTACCAACTTGAAGTATCACGTTAGCGCTATTTTTAGGACGCGGTAATATACTCATATATGACTTACTAATCTTATTCAATAATCTTATTGAGTGTATCACCTGGAAGTCTGGATACAAGTTAAATACAAATTCGTTGTCCCATTTTCCAGGACTAGATGATCTGCAACTCTCTTGTTATGAATTATAATAGATTTTAACACTTTTAATTATTCAGCTACTTCAACCCTTTCTAACTTAACTTAATAATTATAAATTAAAAAAGTCTACCGGAGTGATGCTACGGTCTCACAAAAAAAACAGTGTCAGCTAATTTGTTCGTTACTTTCCACCGAGTGTGTGTAATTACCGGGGCTGAGTCCACCTTACCTTCCCCATCTTTGGGTAATGGGGGGGGGGGAGCACATTCATAAGTGCGTTACTTATATCTCTTGAATTGCAGGTGTTAATGTGCAGTGGTAGCCACTTCCCGTCAAGTGACCGGTCTGCCCAATATACATTATAAAGAACTCAAACAAATTTATTATTTTCTAGATTTTTTTCCATAGAAATAAGATTAAAAAAGTAAAACAACAAACACCAATGTTAGTTCAATTTGTTAGTCATATTACTGGCAAATAGACTCGCGTATAGATAAGTTATCGTTCCGTAAACGTGTCAACACGAGCGGCCCCAATAAAAGTCACATTTAGGCCAAAACGCGTGGAACGAAACTGCTATAGAATAGGCTGAATATCGAATGCAAGGAATGATGTTCTACGGGGAATAACAAAAACGTTTAAAACCGGCTGATTTTATAAAAATTAGAAGACGCTCCATTAACAATATAATTGGTAAATAATATATGTACATACGAGTACATTGACCGTGTGATGACGGATTAAGAATACGAAGTGTCACCACTCCTATTCATCCCTTGCGTGTCGTAAGAGCCGACTAAGGAAGTAAACTACGCAGGACAACGGCTGTGCAAAGGGAAATAAATTTGACACAAAACCTTTTATTTATTTATTTTTTTTAACGTGTGGAAATCCCCTCGGACCGTCACCCCACCGGGGTTTGCGGCGGGGTGGTGGGTCGGACTCGGACCGACTAAAACCACACGGTGTGCCACTCTGCGCCTGTAATAGGAGGGATCCGGGAACAGCTGCTATTAAGACATCCGGACCCCTCCTAGCGCCGGCCCGCTCCTGTGGCGGGCTCCGTCTCAAAATTTTCCTCTCTTTTTAGGCGACGTCCGTTGACACAAACCCTATACCAACCCGTCTGGCCAGTGTGGTATAGTAGGCCAAAACCCTCGGCCCTCTCCCGATCCCGTTCAGCGGTCTCCTTCTGGAGCATTACAGCTTCACAGAAAGAGACCACTGCGCCCCAGCCCTCCTCACCCGCCAGCATGGCAGCAATTATTGTTGGCGGAGAATTAAAATATAACTTGGCACCTAAATATATTTCACAATTTCTAACCACATACAATTTAATGAAAGAAATTGCCCTATGTGATAAAACTTCTGATTGTTTAATTAAAAAATTAAAACAAAATTGCTGTTCTTGGATGGTGATAGATAAATGTAGATAACTCTTTATTTGTACACATTATTACAGCAGAAGTGTCATACATACATGTGTCAGACACATAATCGACAAAGATCGACCTTATTGTTACATGCGATCATTCAGGCAACCTTCGAATGGATCAAAGTATCTCCGAGAGACTCTTTAATCCTTCATATAATCATTGAATAGTGTTTGTCTGTAATCTTTACTATCTTCAAGTCTCAAAAATTACATAATTGTATCTGTAATCTGATAATACGCGGTACAAACAATGACTTCATAACCTAGAATAGTTTATTACCAATGAAAAATAATTTCAAAGATACTTAACTTAATGCATGTAACTTTTCGATCAAAACTCTTTACTCGTTAGGTGCAATGGAACAAGAGAATTGCTTAGCACGGATTTAATACGAGGCCGTAGAACACTCCGATCGAGTTGTCGGGCCAAAACATAGCCCGTCCACAACTAGATTATTGACCGTTGCAGTTGGTAAACCATGGGCTTTACTGGGAAGTCATAGAATTAACCGTAATTTAGGCCTTTACTGTAAAATCAAGTTTGAAAAACTCATACAAATGCTGAACGGGAAAACCAAACGAAAAATTCATTTAAAGGAAAAATTATTACCTACGTCGTCATTTATAAGTTTTATTTAAGTCATTCACTTATGATTACCTATTTATTTTAACCCGGTGAATTTCCGAACGCGTTAATTCTGGAAAGAGTAGGTTGTGGTTGGCAAAATACATAGAGCTTACTATTGTATTGATGATGACGAACGAACGAAGAACTTACATTTCATATGTTTATCAGCTGTCTGGTTATCATAGCACATGCTCTGCCTTGTTTGGAATCGGACTGTTCTGTAAGAGCTGTGTTAAGTTATTATTAACACCAAATCTTTACTTGCGTGAAAATCTCGAGGTAAATTTATCTATGGGTAAAATGACCTTAGGATCAGTCCCACTGAACGTACCAACCGCAGGTGTCAAAGTATCGAGAAACCTGGAACCTGGAAACACACTAATTTATAAAAATGATAAACATATAATATTCATTTTTATAAAGTATTTCAATAAACACCAAATTAATTATGATTGTTTTAATAAGAAAACAGCGGTTATGTTTTAAAGCGTCAAATATTGAAATCGAAATAACAGTACCCAACAGTTTGCATTTGCTTCATAGTAATTTAAAAATATTTGTATAAATATTTTTACACATACTTTTATTTCAATATATGTCAATTGGGCACATATTTTTAAAAATAAACATGCATGTTACACATATATAATTACAACCAATTTTATTGTCAAGAAAATAATTATGAAATCTATTCACAAAATGACTAAGAAATCGCGTAGTACGAGTATTAAGCAAAATTGGGAACCTTCTCTTTAAAAAAGTAAACCTTTAGAAATAGTCAGTAATATTCCTGTAATAATACTTTAGCCTGCAAATACTGCTAAATGGTAGCAGTCTCGCCTGTACTCGAAGTATCTGAGATAAGGTTTATCTGTGTTATAAATATAGATACTGAACCCAGTAAGCAATAGCTAAATAGCACCTATAAAAGCGTTTAAACGGTTGGAACATGGGTCGGAACATTTGCGAGCTAGACCGGAGCAATACCACGACCTCTCTCAAAAACGGTGTTTTGAATTATTCTTTGGTTGCTTTTTATCGAGTGAGCCACACCCCCTTTATTCTGAGGAGGGAACTTTTAAGGGGCGGCTACGCTATTGTCACTCTTGTGTTGCAGATATGGGCGGTGGTTGTCACTTACCGTCAGGTGACCCGTCAGCTTGTTTGCCCCCTACGCTATAAAAAAAACATCTTAATTTGGGAGAGTGACATTAGGTCTGTCAAAAGTATAAAAATTTAAGTCGCTATTTTGTACATTTTAATAAGTACATTGACGCCGAATTTTTGTTTGTTTACATTTTTATTCGACTCGCCATTAAAGGTATAGGTATTGTTTCACAAAACTATTAGACAATTATTTAGACGCCAATTTTAAAGTAAGAACGAACCACTTCGACCTTTAAAATACGTGATATTGTTTGATTAAAATGAAAAACAAAAAATCACACAGCAACAACCTTAGTGCATATTCGTGAGTTTTTTTCAATTCAGATTAAATTATATTTACACAATTAATATTAGATTAGATTGAGTCAGTCAAGGCGCGCCCTGTGCTTATCATCTATCAGACAACAATTTATTTAAAAGTCAGGTGACATATTCGCTGACACATAACGTGAAGTATATACCAACATAATGATTATACTAGCCGTTTTCAACAGTCAATTGCTTTTATAGTCACCGCTCCGTGCCTAAGAATCGTAACGTGTTGATGTTATGATCTATTACCAACCGTTCATCCCTTAGGAGTGAGATTTTCAAAAATACTTTCTTATTGGGTGCTTACAAAACCATCAAATTTCAAGTTTGTATGTATGTATTTACAAAAAAAAGTATATATGTATTTATATCAGTTGTCTAGTACCCATAGTACAAGCTCTGCTTAGTTTGGGACTAGATGGCGTTGTGTGAATGTAGTAAAATATATTATTATTATTTTATCTCCAGCGGTTTAGGCTGTGTTGATGAATCAGTCACTCAATCAGAGCAAACAATTTAATATGTATTGATAACCTTCTCTAATGAGTACTCTGCTCAATATGAAAACATTTTTTCAAAGCCAGGTAGTGCATGAGATTAGCGCGTTAAAACACAACAAGAAAAACAACTTTTTACCATTATTATCTTAGTACAGATAAGGAAAATGATAAAATATATCAAAATCCTATATTTCTCGGTAACGGTTGAACCAATTTATATTTATTTCTTTTACTCGTATGTGGATTGCGATGACACCCGATCGGTGTCAGGCGCTGCACTCATAAGTGATGCGGGAACTCTCCCCTTGATATAAATCCCCCATAGGGTGCGAAACCAACCATGTATTCATAGTAATTATAAAAACCCTTTACGGTTGGTTTTGTTTTAATAAATATTTTATGTACCAATTACAAAAAGTATATCAGAAAATTTAATATATTGTTTTTATTCAGTTTCGTAATCCTTGCTTAAAGATCTACTTATTAATGTATACGTATAATATAATAAAAATATCTTAATAAACATTTTTCATTTTTAAATCTCAAATCCAGGGGGATTTGGGATTTAAAAATGAAAAATTTCCCGCTGACTCGTGTGGGAGGGACTCCAAGGGCAGCAACGCACTTGTGACTTGTGAGTTGCAGGTGTCTATAGGCGCCGGTAGTTGCTTACCATCAGGTAACCCGTCTGCTCGTTTGCTCCCTTATACCATAAAAAAAAACCTTTCATGTATTGCATTGATTGCATTTGGACCGAAGTTATATTAAAAGCTTTTTATAAGTAACACACAAGTATTGCAATACTGGAAAATCTATGACGCGCGAATTGAGACGAAGTTTTGACAGTTATCACAACTTTATTTTTTCTTTTCACAGTCCGAGTATGCGTACCAGAATCCACGCCGTCGGCCACTTGCCAAAGCATGAGCAAGGATGACAGTCAAGTGCAATGTCTGCGAGTTGAATCCAGGTAAGAATTAAGTTCTATGAAGTAATTTTTAATCCAAAACTAGGCAGAACCTGTGCTACGGTTTCTCGTAAACATACTTATTTGTTTCTAAATATGTACATATCATAGATAAATTACACCCAGCCACACTTCCTCAATTTACTAGACATGGAAATGATTGCTACTTTTAAATCATATTAATCTGATGAAGTGATTAGTTTTAGTCACAGCGATTTCACATTTGATTGTGATTACGTCATGGACAAAGATAAGTGGCATTAAGATCAATCAAAATTCTTTTTATCAAAGATTACCAGCTTTTTTTAGATTTAGACCTTTCGCGAGTTTTTAATAATAAACGTAATAATAATAATTAAGTAGCAGTGGTATTGTAAATCTGTCACACGTTTGATGAAATGATTTTTAAATCATATGATATATCTATCACTACGTATGGCGTACTACGCTGAGTGTTATGGGTTCGGTTCCCACATGGGAATTTGTGTGATCCACAAATTGAAGTCTGAGTCTGGATTTTCTTGTCTGGATGTATGTGTAGAAAGTGCACCGATTGAGCTCCAATTTTTAAATGATATACAAACCGTTTCAAAGATTATTTTTATCTATTTTCCGCGTTAGTTTTGTTCTTAATTTCTCATCAATGGAACGATGTGACACAGCGAAGCATGGCGGAGTACAGCTAATCGTAAATTTTTAAACAAAAACTAAGTTAATAAAAATTTCGATTTCTTATTAATAATTTTGAATTTAGTATAATAAAAAAAAATGTTCTCAGGAGTACATAAAATAAATAATTATTCTATTTAGAAATTAATGTTAGTCCCGATGGATAAACGAATAAAAATCTAACTTTCCGCAAGCGAAGACGTCCAGAAACTAGTCAAATAAAATGTCTAACAAAATGTCACACCTCCAACGATACGTTTTTGTCTGCAGGGTGGACTGCGCTCTGAAGCTAGCGTCGTCTGAAGCTGACATCGGTTTCTTCAACGAAGAGGAAACTCTTCTGCTGGCACAAGAGCAACCTGAACATCACAGAGTGATCGCTACGGTACGGGACAGCACCAGACTCGGTAAGCCATAATTTAAAACTATTTTACAACAAAAGTGGTGTACACTGGTGAACATTTGGAATCAGAAGTTTCGTTGAGATTTTGGAGTTTAGATAAAAAGAAGATTTAGAATGAAGCCGATGTGTAGAAGTATCAAAAACATTTTTGGTGTAAATTTCCCTGTAATCTGTGGTTGTGACTTAATAAAGTCCGTGTGGAGATGGATTTAGAATACGGAGTGTTACCACCCCTATCTATCCCGTGAGTGTCGTAAGAGCCGACTAAAAGAGCAAAACGTCAACAATGCAAAGAGAAGGGAAACTTGAAATAAACGCTATATCAACTTAGCGTGCCAGCCATGGTATAGTAGGCCAAAACCTCCTTACTATTGAAGTTAATAATGAAGAAGATGCATATACCAGATTTATGAACATGATGGGCGACAACAGATTTATGACCTATGGGCGCCGGTAGTCACTTACCATCAAGTGGCTTGTCTGCCCGTTAGCACCATTTTACATAGTAAAATAAATGAATAAAAGTTTTTACGGCCCTGATATCTTCTAGTCGAACCATTAAACTATCACTAATTGAGCGCTTTAATATTAATATAAAAACATCCATTTTCTAGATCCGTACTCCTTCGAAGCTGTGGCCATAGTACCAGCCACCCACACTAATGGTTTGGAAGGTCTACGTGGAGGTGTGTACTGCCACCCTGGACTGGGCCATCCGGAAGTCAGGTGGTCGCCAAGAGTACTCAAGACCTTAGAAGAGCAGGTAAGATTTTTTTTCTGTTAATACTTCTCAATCCTGGCTTGCCGTCGACAGTCCTTTGGATGAGAGTCAGCCCTAAAAGATACCCAGGAATTTTTTGCTTACTTTTTTTTAAGTATTTTGTAGGATATGAGGTTCTAACAGTGTGGTAATGGATTAAGAGTAAGCAGTGTCACCACCCTCATTCATTCCGTGGGTGTCGTAAGAGCCGACTAAGGGAGCAAACTACGCAGGGCAATGGCACTACAAACAGAAGAAAAACTTGACACAAACGCCATGCCAACCCGTCTGGCCAGCGTGGTATACTCGTAGTAGGCCAAAACCGCCTTACTATTGAAGTTAATAATGATGAAAATGTCCCAAGCTGCTATGGCATAAGCAATTTCCTACCATTGCCGTCCTTTCTCATCTCGAATTTCAGAATCCCAATTCTCGATTCTAATCCTTCAAATGCTCAGAAGAGGGCAATAAGCTTGATCTTTGTAGTTGGCAAAATGTGGGAGGCCAAAGCAACGATGGCGGGACGATCTGGACGGCTTCAGATAAGAGTAGTCTGACCTGGCATATAATAGGTGGATGTGGAAGAGAGGGAAGCTTTTGCCCCGCAGAGGGACAACACAAACTGAAAATAAATGATAAGATGTGGGCATTTAACACACCTCTGTTTACCCCTTCAGAGATATAGGTGTGAGTTTATACATGGAGTATTGACTTACACTAGTTTTAGGGCTTCTGCAGATACAAAACAAATATTAACATTATGCAAAGGTATTTTGCAAATTATAACTAATTATTAATTTATACTTAGGCTGCCCGAACGGACCGCTGTCCTGATGTCGAAACTGCAGGGAAGACCGCCGAAGAGGTGGAGGTGGAAACACTCAACTCATTCTTTTCAGCCGCTTGCCGTCCAGGAGCCTGGAGTGCTAACGCAACCGTTGACGCTAATCTCAGTAAGTCTTAATGTTGATTTCGCGTAGATTTTGTTTAAGAACAGTTTGCTTAATCCCCTCCCCTCCCTAATTTTGATGGGGGGGGGGGGTTAACTGAAAGGGCAGCAAGGAACACTTTTCACTTTCCGTTGACTTACCCGTCTGCTCGTTTTCCCCTGAATCTTTAAAAAAACTTAATTGCAAAGCTTGATTTAATTTTTCCCAATAGATCTTGACTATTTCTTCATTGTTTGCAGAATCTCGTTTCCCAAACCTGTGTTCCCTCTGCGGGGAGAACTCGAACTGTAATGAATATACCATCGACATGGGCGTGCTAATAGCTGGAATCAGGAACGACAACAGACATATTCAATCGTTGCAGTGTTTGAATATTAACTCGAGAGTGGCAAATAGATCTGCGGTCGCTTATGTGGCGTGGCAGCATGTCAGAGAATATTTCACTGTAAGTATATATATTTACATATATAACTAGCTTTTGTTCACGTGATGGTCGACATCAGACGTCGTAGAGGATACAATGTTAATAGAGAATAATTAATCATACTTTTTCCACTCTCTTCTTTTACTTCTCGATTTCAAACTCAGTTTCGATAAGTTAGAAAAAAAAATAGTTTCCCATACAAACTTGCACCTCTTTTTAAGGTTAGTTTTTTAGTTTAAGGAACATTTTTAAAACAGAATCAGTCTGTCAGTTTTTGTTATCTTATATATATATCATACTCCTCCGAAACGGCTGGACCGATTTTTATGAAATTTTGTGTGCACATCGGGTAGGTGTGAGAATCGGCCAACATCTATTTTTCATACCCCTAAATGACAAGGGTGACCCACCCCTACAATTTTTTTTCAAATATTTCCTAGAAATAATGTATATGGCAAAACAACCAGATTGCCAGGTCAGCTGCATACTTATATATATAGATTAAGACAATGAAATAAAGCTAAACATTTCAAACGGTTGACATTCGATCACCGGGCGATATCTGGGATTTATAAATGGAGCCGATTTAATGTAAAAGATCAACCAACTTTCTTTGTGACTATAACATGGGATTTGGGTCGTTTGATCACAACTCTGGGAAGATATTTACTTCACCTGAGACTGTTCATAGCATTATTCCATATGAAGCGTCCAAGTAGATGTATTAAAATTTAAAAAGATAGATTATGAAGAAAAAAGAAAAATTAATGTAGGATATATTACAGATCTAAAACATATTATTAGCTGTAATAAAAATTAATGTTAGTACTCTACTCTAAATCCTAACACATTCAGTAATAACTAATCTCTATTTTTTGTTATTTCAGATACGCAATACTGAGGACGTGAACTCTTTCCATGTACTCTGCCCCAACGGTACCACCATACCTCTCTCGGTCGAGAATCTGGCCAGCACCGTATCTCCCTGCTCCTTCGTGAGTCAACCATGGGGCACCATTATTGCCAACCCGTGAGTATTTTTACCTAAGAACCGTAATGTCCAATAAGTGCTTGAAAATTTACAACACAAGCACTCACTTCTAATCCTATAGAGTTTTTTTTCAAGTCATTGTATGGTGGCAACTTCCACTTACAACGAAAAACATACCACAATACCATCTATCGAAGACACTACGAACTACGGAGTAACTTTTAGTACTGCACCGCGGATATAAATTCTCGCGATGTTTAGTACACTTGAAAAAATACTTTTTGCGATAAGCAACTTGCATTTATTTACAATGACAAGGCGACTATCACATAAAACTTTGGGAAATCATTCCCAAGATAAAGGAACTTTATACATCCTCACAAGGCAGACATGGCTACTTTTTAGGATTTTCACGTTATAAAAACTATTGTTATTAACAGGACCCACGCACCGACTCTCCTGAGCGCTTTACAACAATGGTGGCCAAACGGGATGAACCCTGGACAGAACACATGGCAGTCTATCATGTTTAACGCCGTAGCTGGAGGCGTCAATGCACGCATAGTCTTCGAGAACTCCCCCGTTTTTCCAGTAAACTATACGCGAGCAAGTAAGACTCATTTTACTTTAACAACAAACAAATTACTATCTATCTGATTCAGATCATGTTCATTCAGCTTTTTTGACGAATTTTTTTATGTTGATTTCTTACTAAATCTATAAATAAATAAAATACTTATCATTGTATGACACTTTTAGTTGGTTCCATTACATTATTATGTCACGATCTTAAGGCATATGTCGTGGCCAGATCATAGAATGGACCATTTTGTGATGTCGACTATTTTATGAAAATTTCGAATAACATGATAGGGTCAGCCATAACTGATCATATATTATTTACTGTTACAAAAAAAAAACAGTGGCAGTGGCAGTGGATTTAAAGATTTTTGATTATTACAGGAAAACTTTTTGTTCTCTTCGATTCGAAAAGTGCCGATATTTATATATGTTTATATTATATATATCACACACAGACCTTGCACCTACCGACTATTACTTTTTCCAAAATTTAGACAACTTTTTAGTGGGTAAAAAATTCAATTCCCGAGAGGCAGTACAAAATGCCTTTGAGAGTTTGTTGCCTCCCGTCCAGCTGATTTTTACAAGAAGGGCATCAATAAACTGCCAATGCGTTGGCAAAGATGCGTCGATTGCATGGGTGATTACTTCGAATAACAGAAATAAAAAGTTTGAAAAAATAAGTACTTTCACTTATTGCATACAAAACGGCAATTTCATAGGTAAATACCTAATAGTTATATTATCAATGTAGTTCAACCCAAACTCAACTTTCGTACAAACGGGGCCAATATATAGATATTTATATGCAGAGATGTCGGTAACGGTAACAGTGTCACGAGTTCAATGGTTTTTTCCCATCTCAAACAATACATTATTTTGTTTGTTGATCAAAAATGCCCAATGCTGAATAATGTAACTATTTTACAATATGATCAGCTTTTTTTAAGCACATTAACTACCATATATTATATATTGTTGTGCGTTTAGCTGCTCATATCAAACGCTAATTTTTGACCACAGACCACATGATAAGGCCAATTCTCGTAATAAAAGTTTGGTAAAAAAATCAATTCCGATCAACTCGCGATCTCGCAATTGTTAGAGAAGGTATTTTCTTAGTAAAACCGTAAAGAATTACTAAGACCAGCAGATTACCGATTCAATTTTCGATTACAATACGATGTAATTACATTACAGTCAACGTTAGATGTTTAATATTTTACTACCCAAATAGCTTTTATGACAGTTTTGAGATCGAGAGTTGATTGCAACTGAATCGTGACCGAACTTTTATTACCTGAATTGGCCTTCTGATCAGAACACATGGTGAAATGACCGAGCATTTCACGAAATATTCGTATTCGACCTATATCATGAAGTGATCAAAACTACTTCCCACTTGATCTTGACCACGACAAATATAATGCCCATGTACATGTGTATGTTCTGAACTCCTCCTAAACTACTTATATTCACTATTAGATGCCGCCAGATGTCGCCTCAATCGCGTAAAAGATATCTTCGAAATTTTAATGTTTTTTGATGATTTTATTTTATTTATTTTAAAATTTGACCCCGTGCCTGAGCACACTCTGCCATTTAGTCATAAATCATTATGAGTAAGTACTTATTTTATTTCTTTTTCAGTTCGCCAAATCAGCCCAATAGAGTCAACATCTTCGTGCCTGCCTGCTAGACGCTGGTGTGTCATATCTGAACCTGAGCTGTTAAAATGCAACTGGGTTCGCAGTGCTTCCTACGTTTTAGGAGTCCAACCCCCAATATCCTGCCAGTTGAGAAGAAATATCCTAGAATGTCTCGCTGACATCAGAGACAATAATTCTGACTTTATTGCTGCTGGTTCCAACTACGGATATCTTGCGAGAAGGTAAGGTTCGAAAGCTGTTCTATACCAAATGCTAGTTTAGCATCAATGATGTATGTTCTAATAGATTAACCAGTGAAAGATTGACGTGTCGAGCCCATTACGCATAACCACTTTAGCATGCTTATTCTTCAAGCTATGTCGGTTTCTTCAGTTCTTTCATTCCTTTACGGTAGCCTTATACACCTCTTTTTTTTTGTAGCCTGTATCAGCTGGGACCTGTGAAGCTTGTACAAAATTCTCAACAGGATGCAGCTAGAATTGCTGCTTTTGTCAATGAGGCGGCTGCTTCCAGTGAAAATATCACCAGATTCGAGAACCTAAGAGGCAAGAGGGCTTGCTTCCCTGAATTTGGTGGACTCGGTAAGTTGGTATTTCATAGATAGATAGATTCTGCATGGATAAAATATTTAGTTAATTTTTAAGATGCTGATGAAGATAGCTTTAATCTTGGCAGTCAATTTTAACCTAATTATTATATCGAAATGAAACTTTGTATGTAGGCTTTGTACACGTAGTTTGGATGATAATTTGGCGTCTTAGATCTACTGTGGTGATGAAACTAGAGCCAGATATTCAGTAGTCCTCGTATTTTGACTCATTTGGATGAATGGAGCTCGCTGGATATTTTGTTTTACTTTTTTTTATAATTTTAGAATTATTAAAGGTATTGTTTTTTAAATACATATTTTTCTTAAAGCGTATATGGCATTCGTTCGCGCGGGCCGAGAGCGCGGCGTCCTGCCTAACTCAGAGTGTGACTATGCACGTGTGGTGGGAGAATTCTTCGAAGGTGCCTGTGCGCCCGGAGCGATTGATGCAAGTCATTCAATCTCAAATTCAACGGTAAGATCAAAACGACCCATTCATTTCATACTCTAATAAAACTCTTAATACTCATAGACTACTCAAAACAACACTTTATAACTAAGTTTTTTGAAAGTAGTTTTTTGGTGGCCTGTTTTAAGATTTAAAAAGTTTATTTGATATTTCTTAATATCATTTAGTTAATCTTTTAATTTATGTAATTATATGGAATACAAATTTATTAACGTATCCATTAAATGATACGATTTCTATCTTTATTATTTATAACAATGTAAATAATTGCACCATAACTTAACATGGAGGCGGTTGTCCCCGCGTTCGATCTACGGGAAGATCCTTCTGCTCCAAGCAAGGTCAAGAAGGAGACTGTCCGACGTGTAATGCGAAGAGTTAGTTCGTATAAACTGTCTTTATTATCTCAGATTTTTCTCAACTACGGCATTAACAGGGAATTACATAATATTTGTCACAATGGTTTTACAAAATGTCTGTCATTTGTTTCTAAAAGTGTGCATTTTATATTACTTTGACTTTTGTTTGTTGTTTTGTATTGTTTTTAATGTGTTTAAGTCGTGTGAGTGTCGCTCAAAATTATAAAATAAATATGGTAAAACCACAGATAATATACCTGTAGATGATATCACGGCATTCGCAGAGATTATCAATGGCACAATCTTCGAGTCGAATGTCAAATAGTAACACGAGATAAACTACATATTTTACGTGGATGCATTTCACTAGCCATAAATATGATACGAAAAATAAAAAAAATTAAGGCAAATTTTGGTACTTACAAGTTTTCGCGAAAATCGAAATTTTCCCATATCTTTTTATCGTGTTGACTCAGGATCTTGATTTTTATACACCTAATAGGGACCATGGACCTCCGTATCTGGTATAAATTTCAACTTGCTAAGTCTACCCGTTCCTGAGAAAATCGGTGGTGACACACAGACAGACGAACAGACGTACAGACGGACAAGAAATTGATCTTATAAGGGTTCCTTTTTACCTTTTGAGGTACGGAACCCTAATTAACTGTTTTTAACATTCAGACTATGCTTGTAACAGAGCTGTTGTTTTTATTACTTCATAAAATTATGTCTATCAAAGAATTAGGTATACATAAAGAAAGGACGACATTTTATGCGTGCAATGAGTTTTGTAATGATCGAATGGTTGTCAAATCGTCCTAATTTACTGTAGATGACACTGTTTTAGAATTGTTTGTTTTTATGTTTTTTTCTTTCTATTATACATTTTCTATTGATTGTTAAATAATTTTTGAGGTGCTAAAACTTTTCTTTCGCTTCCTACAATCCGCTGGAATGATTTTGTGAAAAGGAACGAAGGCGACGTGACGTGATCATTGGTCAAATCAAATATTATTTGATTCACAGAATATTATTATTTTTTCTGTGATTTGATTATTGAGCACGCGCGCGCACCAGGTATTACATATCATACGCGGTTACTATGATGCTCGCCTATTTATTATGAGTTTTAGGTTGAACAAACTATTTCTCTAAATATTGTATGTTGAATGCTTCTTGTTTAAATGGAAATGATATCACTAAACGGGTACATGACCCCGTTATTTCTAAGCTACTGTGACCTCAATCTGTGGAAAACTGCAATTTCTCATACTTCTTCGACTCATATTTTCCTTACACCAATATACTTTTCCCTATGACCACATCTGAAAAAAATACGTTCAAAGCCCGAGTGGCCAGCCATAGACAAAAACTAGCCATTTTTGTAATGTTACCCATTGATAAGACTGTTGATAAGACATATACTGTGAATGTTGTAATGCATTACGTTCTATGGTATGTGTGTTTATGTAAGTTTTATTTTAGTGTTTGGAGTTTAATGTGCTCTAGTTCGAAGAGTATTGAAGGTATATGGCTTAAAAGTACTAACAAAAATTAAGGGCTAAGTATGGTTACTTCAAGAAATAGTCATTGTTTTATTCAGTAGGTATATTAATTAATGAAAAAGATTCACAATGTAGATGATGAATTTATATCAGTGCACAAGTACTAGTTTTACTTTAAATCAACATGCCATATAAGTACGTGATCTCTTATAACAATAATAACTACAGATATCTGATACACGACAGTCTGATCCCAAGCTAAGTAGAGCCTTTACTATGATAACTAGACTGCTGATAATCATAACTTACATCCAGACACAAAACAAATGATCGCGCTCATCAAACAATTATCTGTCTTGGGTAGGAATGGAACCCACGTTCTCGTAAAGCCCATTTCACCTACCCCCAAGATATTGAGGAAATATTTTAATAACTCTATTTAAATTGTGTTATTTGTTGCAGACGTTTAACGCCTCCGTTCTTTGCTCAGCCTGTCGACCCAACACCGACGTAGCGGCTAATGTTTCTGCAGGTAAGATTTGTAATCGAATAAATGACTTACGTTTAACTTACTACCAGATATATTAAACTGTCATGTCAAAAATTAACACTTGATGCTGTCAAAAATAGTAATTGATCATCAAAATTAAACCCAAAAATGAACATTTTGCTTTCCTTAGTAAAGTAAATGACTCGCAAACTGAAGCGTAAATATAGGAACGTACCTTCTCTTGTGTAGCTGAGCGGAGGATGATGAGCGGCAAGTAAAAGTCCCAACAAGTATTTCGAAACAGTTTATTGTCACTTTATAACACCAACACTAAGTACACAGTTTATATAGAAAGAAAGAAAGAAAGAAAGAAAGAAAAATACTTTAATTGGCACATTTTACAGGATTGTTACATATTTACAACAGAGACATGTATAAAATACATCTGTACCAATATGGACCACGACTCAGCATAATGCTAGGCGCAATGCACCTAGCGCTGGTTTTCAGCGCAGCCCAAGGGTGTTGTCCGCGTGTCTGTTAGATAGAATAAATATTCGATCATTATGATAGTCTAGTATATTGGGACTAATCCCACCCACACGCCCACCACTGTAACTCCTGTACACCAGGATCCACAGCAGTGACCCACGAACACACCGAGTTATGACACTCGGGAAGTCCCAGGAAGAAATTAAACTGTCTTGGAACCCGCAACGAAATTAATCAGAAGAAAATTGGAGGAGTTGGAAATACAGTAAATCCACTTACCTCCTTAGCAAAGCGGGAGACAAAATAAAGTAAAATGGGCATACACCCTTTTAAACAGGGAAGCACCACGGCCACAAATATTAAGGGTCCTACGTGAGCTATGTTTGATTTCTATAATATATATGGCAGAATCGCCTAAACGCACGGAAATTCACCCTAGTTGATACAAGATCCCCATAGTATACCGCCCCAGATGTCACCTGCAAGCTATTCAGCATTATATTACGTTTATTATACCAAAGACTACATTCCCAGAGGATATGATGAGCAGACTGTTCATAGTGAGAGTTAGGTGTTGAGCATTGACACAATGGTGACTCGACTAATTCAAATGAATAATGAATAAATCTAGTATAGCGTGCTATAAAGAAATATTGGTTTGAGAATATTCCGAGAACAATAGTGATTGCATAATAACTTGATTAATAGGAAAACATTATATCCACAAGTAAACAATCTATTGACAAGAATATTTTGTACAAAGCTAAACCGCTGTTGATTAGTCCACCTTACGTATCACACTGTCCGAGCGCACGACTGCTGACTACCCTCCAGTAATAAATCGAAACAGTGTACACCCTTAGCAAGAAGTTTGACTTTAGATGATTTCAATTTAATTTTAATTATTTATTTATACGCGGACCAAATTTTAAGGAAGTTAATTAATATTATAATTGCTAACACTACTAATAGGATAAAAATAGGTTTTAACAATATTTTTAGGACAAAAATGAAAATGAAATGTTAGTGTTTAGACACACTACACAAACTAATCATAGTCAACCCCAAAATTTTACCACATTTTATACCAAGGATTCCAAAATTATTTTGGGCAAGAAGCCTTTTTTAAAATGAACTGATACCTCAGACCCCCTTAGCCAAATTACTGTACACTTATCGACTTGTTGAGTTTTTTTAAAGTACATCAATGATACTTCTTACTAAAATAGTAGTCTTTGTTATAACATTGGTACACGTAACACAACTAATACAGTATCTTGAAAGTTTCAAACTAATTGAAATAAGAACTGCTGTTAATTAAAAGGGGTCGATTTTTAGACCCCCAAAATCAGTTTTCATTTATGGGAAGCCAATTTTGACCATAAGGGGTTTATAACGACCACCTTGGGAATACCTGTTTTACACGAACGTACAAAAGTTACATGTTATATGTTGAACAGGAAGAAAGGTGCTTACTTGCCAGATGGTTTGAAAAGGAAGATTCAAAACCTAACCAAAGTCAAAAGTATTAGTGCATTAGTTTCCTGCATTTGGTGTTCGAATATAATTCAAAGTGCCTTCATGACTAAAACAGCATCCAGCAAACAAATCCATTGTAAATTTAGACTCTCTTTGGTGTTCATTATATTTAATTACGAAAAAAAAACTCCTAATGTTTGCCTTAAATCGAATACGACTATCGTACCTATACATATATTCGTATAGTCGCTTCCTAATAATTAATTTAGGTTGAATAACGATAAACATTCGTGAATGAATAATACAGATGTCCGTGTGGTGACGGATTAAGAATACGAATTGTCACCACCTCTATTCATTCCGTGGGTGTTGTAAGAGCCGACTAAGGGAGTACACTACGAAGGACACCAGCACTGACAAGAGAAGGAAAACTTGACACCAACTTTATACCAACCCGTATGGCCAGCGTGGTATAGTAGGGCAAAACCTCCTTTCTAAGGAGAGGCCTATGTCCAGCAGTGGACTATTAAAGGCTGTCAATGTGATATGATGCAACTTTTTAACCGTGGAAGAACTACGCTTCCTGCTCGGCATGAGTACCACGGCCTCACAGAAAACCGATGTAGACAACCAGTAATGATAGCACAGCACTATTGCAAATGTTTAGCTGTACCAAATAGGCAAAGCAAATTGCTCGCTAATCTATCACGTAAGTGTAATTTTACAGCAAGTTTAATTCCTTTACAGATCAGCCGATCTGCACGTGGGATCAATCGAACTTGTTCTTTGGTAACAACGGCTCTCTGGCGTGCCTCAATAACCCGAACAACGATGTCGCCTTTTTGAACACAAGGAACATTACTCGTAAGTTGACTTTAATGTGTAACACAAATTCCATCATATTAAAAAAGTATTTATTTATTTATTTAATACTTTATACACAAATTACATTAGTACAATGGCGGACTTAATGCCTCAGACATTTTCTTCCCGTCTACCTTTGACATACCCCCACAGTCTTCAATGCTTATTCTTCATTCCTTAATTTTCCAACCATAGGGATGGTATTTTTGCTTCAAATTTGTATAGAATCAAACAGAAGGTATACTCTGTCAAATAAATAAAAGCTTTCCAAATCAGTTTTAAGTTTCAGTTTTAAATGACGGAGTTCTGAGTTCACAAACATAAAAAAATACAATCTTCTCTTTATCTCTTAATCTCCTTCCTTTTTACACGCTTTATATTAGCTTCACTTGTATGTTTGTTTGTGTGGTTGTATGTTTGTAACCGACTCCTTTGGACGTGATCTTGACTGTTTTTGAACGGTCAGAATTCGTTCAAACTCTGTAGATATATCGAGGACCGATGACAGTACACTAATTAAAAAAATATATATTAAAAAAACGTGGCTAAAAAAATTGAAAATAAATTTTAATAAATTTGAAAAAAGCGTTGGGTGCCTGTTGTCAATCGTAAAAAGCACCTCACGCTTTTTTTCAAATTTATTAAAATTTATTTTCAATTTTTAGTTTGGTTTTCTATAAAAAGCGTGTTTTTTAGTTTTTTAAAGCTATTATTTTTTTAAAGTCCTTTCGTCCAAAGTATTAGAAAACTATTAGATATCATCAGCTAAACTAATCTAGAATATCAAAAAGAATTGAATGAATTTGTCTTTGTGTTTTAGTGCACAACCCCATAAAACATTAAAATCAATTGCAAAATAAAACATTCCCGGCTGCGTACACAGGTTACACCGTTCCGTCTCTTTTCACAAAATCAGTCCCACAAATTGCTGGAAAGCGAGAAGAACCATGATATACATTAAAAATTATTGAAACGAAGTTGTCACCAAATAAAATGAGTGTGGATATATGAACTACAAAACCCTAAACTCATATGGACGGGTTTTCATTTGTTTTTAGATGGTTTATCACTTCATCCTTAATATTATTATTACATTACCACCTTCTGAATATAACCATCAGGTGACCTATTTCACGGGGCTGTTGTTTCAGTGGTTAGTGACACTAACTGTTAGGTTAGCCGGAGGTCGTGGATTCGATTCACATGAGCACAGTCCTTTGTTTCTATGTCTGGCTGTAATTTAACTATAATATGTATGTGTTTAGAAATATATAAGTATGTTTATTAGTCGTCTGGATACCATAGCACATCATCTGGCTAATATGGGATCACACTGTGGTGTGAGATGAGTTAAGTTATTTTTAATAATCAAGAAAGTACTACTACCACTAAGTACCATTTCTTTTTCAGGATATCTACAAAGTATGAACCTAAATCCTAATCAGTTCCGTGCTCTGTGTCGGGACAACACCTTGGCAAGCCAACCTGGAACTAATGTCGATGATAATTGTCTGCTTGCATTCGTGGTGGACGCTGAAGTCCTTACAAGAAGGTATGTATCTAAGAAGAATAATTTTTGTAGTTACGTTATCATTAAAGATTAATTTTAATAAACTGTGTTCTTCGTATCTTCAGTTTCCAGTGTGGTACTTTTTGTTCAACTTTGAATGGGAAACGGGAAGATATAAATATAAATAAAAAGCTTTATTTTAAACGGTTTCATAAATGACGGAATGAGGTACAGCCGAATTGAAAACCAAAAAAGAAGAATTATGTCAACGAAGTTTGACCTTGTGATACAAGGGGGCGGTAATGGGCTAGTTGGTTATACGTACCAAACAAAACTTTGAAAATGTTGAAAGATCATAGACACAATTTATTATTTGTCATTGGTATTAGTTTTTGATTTATTACTTAGCTGGTAGTAAAATTATAAAATAAGTAAAAATAAACCAGATGCGAGGGGTCCTCAAATGTGACCACAAGGACGGAGTAGATTGTAAAAGTTAATAATCACGTATTATAGGAAACCCCTGACTAAAATATCTGTTTTGAACCTACTTAACGGTCTATGATTGTTTTTTTTTTAGATCGGACCCTCAATTCAACAGTTTAAACGTATTATTAGACTGGATAGAGTTATATTTCGGATATAACGCAGCCAGTGGCAGTCAACTCATCAACTTCGAGATATTCTCTCGGTTCCGAGGCATCAGCAATCTATTATTCAAAGACTCCACTATTGACCTCACGGAGCCTTCTATTACGTCTACGCACGCACCGGCAAGAAATTATATGGAGTTATTCCAACATCTGGATGCTTGCACAGGAGCAGCTCCTGGTGTTGCATCTAAGAGCATTTATTCAGTTTTAACCATTTTTATTATGGGATTTATTACTAGGTTTGTAATCGCTTAGTTTGTCTGTGGTGACTCCGAATGTATTTGTAAGTTTTGACAGTTATGACAGTAATTTAGGAGGGAAATACATAGATTTATATTAATTAGATAAGAAGGAAAAGTTTAGTGGCCGCAAGTTGTAGAAATATTTTTGACGTGACAACGTCTTATAAATTGGTTTGCCGGGTGACACTTCAAGAAACTGCGTTACGCTCCGCTCACGTTATGCGCTCACAATGAGAGCGAGTGAGAGGCACGCGTCCCTTCCACTCGGGCATGGTTAGCCCGCCTAAGAGCGAGAGAGACAGACATAAATAATTCTTTGTATAAATAAATGTTTTAAATTGTTACTATTATTTCATCCTTCTTCCTACTATACGAATGAATATTCACATTAAAATTATTTTACCACTCAAAGTCGTTGTCACGTAAAACTTTCGCCCGTATACCGACTTTACAGGCAACCAATTTTTTGATATCTATTTAGCACTAAAGCTGATGATGAAGAGAGATAAACATAGAAATACTCAACGCACGATAAATTATAAAGTATAACCAAATTTTTCTTAAGTACATTTAATTTTGTGCAGTAAAGTTTTATTAATCATTTCTACTAATTCAAATGTAAAAATGTTATTATAATAATTCACGAGCTTTCCATTTATGAAAATATACGTGTAAGGGAAAGAGATAAATAGAAATAATTAGCTTTCTTCCTTATCTAGTTAATAACGAATCTGTAGAACGATGACGATGTTTTGTAACGCATAGATAATTTAAGGTTTTTTTCGATGTTTGCATTAGATATTTAGGAATTACTTTAGCTGTTTTCTTAATAATTTATCGGCAATTTTTGTGTAAGTGTAAGATTCATTATTTTTATATATTAAAACCTAATTTTGCAAAGAATTTATTCTTATAAGATATAATTTTATTATAGAATAATTTAGATTGTTGTGATTGTTTTTTTTTTGTATATGTAATTATAAAATTAAATGTTCTGTAATGTAAATTAATTTACTGCCAGTCGTGTTACCAAATGTATTAAATTTGTATTTCTGTGAATAATTACATAACCTTTTTTTTTAAATCTCTGTGTGGTTTATTTGCTTGACTTGACTTGACTCTGACGAAGACGTAAAAAGCACAATCGGTGCGGGTCTGAATATTAAGAATCAAAAATAAAATTCAATAGGTTGTTCCGTCTTCATCCCACTAAATCTCATCCAACTGTGTCATTTTCTTAACTCATCCCAGTTTTTATTTCACATTCATGCTAGGACATTTTTTATTTTTTTCTATTCTTGACTGATCCCATTTTGTATCCTATAGTAATAACTAATAGAAGCGATATCCGGCAAAAGATATGGCACTTGCAAATTGAAATCCCTATGTCTATGAAAGCCGATTTTCAGCCCACCGTGCGGCGTGTGGTTTTTGGTCGGCTCGAGTCCGACATAATTACACCACTGGTGGAGTGGTGGATCAGAGGGGTTCCGCACAGAAAATTAAAAAAAAAAGGGAGCTGACGCTCACTCGCCTTCGCGCGTTATGTTCTATCTTTTTTTTTTTTTTTTTTTTTTTTTTTTTTTTTTTAACGTGTGGAAATCCCCTCGGACCGTCACCCCTCCGGGGTTTGCGGCGGGGTGGTGTGTCGGACTCGGACCGACTAAAACCACACGGTGTGCCACTCTGCGCCTGTAACAGGAGGGATCCGGGAACAGCTGTTGTTAAGACATCCGGACCCCTCCTAGCGCCAGCCCGCTCCTGGTGCGGGCTCCGTCTCGATGTTTTTCCTCTCTTTATAGGCGACGTCCGGCACACGCGGACGCCGCCCCCTCGCGGCTGGCCAACTAATGCGGGTGGAGGGGAAACCCACCCCGTCCACCCGCGGCCACACTCAGGGCGACATGAGGCTGTGATAGCCGGGCCTCCGCCGCCCGGTTCGCCGGCGGCGGATCGGGTCCGAGTGGAGGTCGTCCTCCCGGGCCCTCTCCGCCGCCTCCTTCCGCGAGATTACTACCTCGCAGAAGGTTGCGACCGCGGTAAAACAACTGTCGCTACCGGCCATGGAGCGTACTACGGCCGGTAGCGAGAGATCCACTCCGATGACTGCAGTGAGGGCCCGACGCTGCGCCGCCCATGCGGGGCAGACCGCCAGCGTGTGCTGGGCCTAGTCCTCACTGCAGTCGCAGTGGTGGCAGGCGGGACTCAGTTCCCTCCTAGCGACCGTGTGCAGGTACTTCCCGAAGCAACCGTGCCCGGAAAGCACCTGCGTCAGCCGGAAGGAAAGGGTCCCGTGCTGCCGCCCTGCCCACTCGGCGATGACCGGCTGGAGAGCCTCCACGGCGGCGAAGCCAGCGCGTGGAGTCTCCAGCCGGAACGACCAACGAGCCATCGTGGCTCTTCTATCTAATGTTCTATCTAACCTAACCAAGTAGACATTCCTAAATTAAATTAATCGTAACTTTTAGATTTTGAATATTATAGTAACAATATGTCATAAATAGCAATTCTCTTTCTATGAACACTAAAGAAAATTAATTAAAATAAGTAACTACAAATAGGTTTACGACATCTGGGAAAGAGATAGGAATAAAGACATCGGACAACTGGATGGTTTAGGGATCCTAAATAAACAATTTGTTCAGCCGGTCGTCTAGATGATTGGTTGAGAACAAATATTCCTAACTGACTACTAAGTGCACGGATTTATGGATGGTGGTCCCTTGCTCTACTGGAACAAAGGTTAAAACCCCTCACAGAGAACTGGTGTTAATTAAATATTAATATCGTTGTTTTTCACTAAGTGTTTGAGGTTACCGGAGACCCAATTCTGGGAGGAGAGGAGTGCTGAAAAACATCGACGCACTTATCTCTTGATTTGAAGGTGTCGATGGGAGGCAGTACTCACTTATCATCAGTGAAGGGCTCATTACAGTTCGATAATAAATAAAAAACAACGCATTTCTAAGAGTTATTTAATATCCGATATTGCCGTAATAAAGTATTTATATTTTATTTAAATACAAACACAAATACAACGCACCCTTCGTACATTATATTGCTAAATATTTACAACCTTATACTAATAGCCTATATTTGCTACAGCAGTAGAAAAGATCACCTCATGCTACAAGATATTCTCAAAAATAGCACATTATTTATTCAAAAACATCGAAAATATAAGAAACATGATAAAATACATCCGTGACTATCATTTGCATAGTGGAGAAAACCTGACTGGGGGCATTCTTCAGCGGCCTGACGCGACAGGTCGCTTCACCCTTTGAAAAGGTCCGCTGTTGGGGCGGAGCCTAGTCTGGCTTCATCGAACAACATACACGAGCCACATCGTTCATCTTATACGAGAATATGTCAGTAGAATGTTTTTATCTATTTTTGTTCCTCATGTCAATGCAACCAATATGTAAAAAAAGAATGTTTTTATCTATTTTTCGCGTCAGTATTGTTCCTCATGTCAATGCAACCACAATGTGGTATGAAAAAACTGGTTCTTTACAAAAATGAATACAATGTGACGGCCAACACTAATAAGTCAAATCAAATGGCGCGTGTTTTCACACATTGTGTCAGCGACTGAACGGCATGAAGTACATGCTTACACAATTTGAATAATTCTATAACTCCATACAAATCTTGGTCAACAAATATATAAAAAGTGGATTCTTTCATTAGATTTTTAATATTCCCCAGTTCTCATGATATTTTTTGGGTGAAACAGTCTTCTGTGTCCATGGCTGTTCATCCAAAAATGGTGGGGTTTAGGCAAGAAGCTACCCTCCCAATTTTCTATACTTCTGTAGTTTCTTCAAGGTCTTAATGTTAGAAGCAAACTATGCGATTAGATGCTTTAAAAATGTTTGAATTGTGTGTCATAGGAAGTCAGAAAATTAGAGAATTATCTTCCTAAAGACGCAGGTCCATGACTGTCACTAATGTAATCCATGTTTCTTCTATCTTCCAATATTGAATAAGGACTCTAAACATTTTTACATGATATTGATAAATTACCCCTTTTGATGTTTATTTTATTTTCTTTACAAATTTTGTACCGTACAGATTCAGACAGACAATAGTTAATAATAATAAGTTACTAATCATACCAATCATGGGTCGGAAAAAAAATGATAAAATAAAAAAAAACGCCTCAATCAGATTTCGATCAGCTGTTTGTCGTGTCACGTGTCATGTCGTAATACTAACATGTTGGAGCCTGAATAATGCTAATTAAAACTTGTATTTTCAGAAACGGTTTCCTACCACCTGTATTACTGTACTACTCCCTCGAAAAGTATACCTTTACGGATATACCTTACAAGTATACCTTTAGATAATGTTTTTGAATCTGTAAGGTACAAATATTAAATAAAATTCAGGGTTTCATGTTAAAATGTTGATAAAATATGTTTATATTATAGGGATAAGCATAATCCACGGAGTTCGTTCTAAAGTTATGGAGATTGCGATAGTTTCAAAGTTTGATTCAGACATAATATCTCAGATGAAACCATATTGTCACTATTTGTGTAGACTGTGATCTGACGACATTTATTAACACTTTTTTTAATATACTCTTAAAATGTGAATCTGATTATTTTTTGTGATTTAGGATTTTGTAAATTGTGATTTAAATAGTAAAATCGGGATATAGTTTGTTCGATTTAAAGGTATACGTGACTCTGATTAGAACGGGTTATTTTTACACCCCGAATCCGTCAATATTAGCATTATTCTGTATTTTTCCGTCGCCATTCCTTTTTTATATAATCATCTTTGTTTGGTGATTGATACATTTTTTTTCAGACATAAATATCTCGCGTCACGGAATGCGGTCCCATTTCTCCGAAACGATTTTTATATATTTCATAGGTTTGAGTATTTTTTTAAGTATTTTTCACTCTTCTACTTTCACCTTCCATTTCGTAATCGCGATTTTAGTATTTTTTATAGGGCGGAAGAAGGTTCGGCGGGTCAGCTAGTCGGTGTATAAAGAGGAATGTCGTCAGATCCGTCTGTGGTGGTGGTGGTGGTGTTGGCGGTGCGGGGCTGTCAGTGGTGCAGCGCGTGGTGCGGCGTGAGCACGGCGCCGCCGGGGGGCAGCACCGACGTGAGCACGGGCGCGCCGCCCGACACGGCCGGCACCGACCCCACCCCGCCCACTCCGCCGCCGCAGAATATCACCTGTCCATATTATACGTATTAGTATGTGAAACGGCCACTAAGTCGCGATGGCTCGTCGGTCGTTCCGACTGGAGGCTCCACATTGACTTACTGCCGTGAAAGCACTCCAGCCGGGCGCAAAAGCAGCATAGAACCCTTATAAAGATCCTGTCCTAGCACGACTACTTTGACAAATACCTGCATGAAATGACATAAACGTTTGCCTGGATTTTGCGTAAATAGAAATTTGATGACCGCGCTTTTGCGAACAAGCGCTAGAAAGGTCCAAATACCGTAACAAAAACTAATCCTAAATCCCACCTATTTAAGACACAGTAGACACATCGCACAGATTTAGTCAGTTCGATTCCAACACACTGCTCTACTACCCTAATGAAAAGACAGTCCGGGGAGTTTACATGCATAAAAAATGGTATAATAATTTTAAATAATACTCCTTACTTGTGAAACAGGGGTCGCCGGCTGTCCAGGAGTAGCCAGAACATATTGCTGCTGTCTTACACCACCCACCTGGAAAAAGTGATTAAATAACCGTATAAGAGATTTGTCAAAATAATATTATGTGAAAATGAAGAGAGATTGTGACTTAGGAAACCTCATTCACACAGTAACAAGATAAATGCTTTTTATAAAAGTTGAACCAACTTCGATCAAAGAGCACTAAAAACCTAGTAGCAATCGCGTTAATTTGCCGTTCATTTTTTTAAGAGTTCCGTTGTCTGTTTCCAAAACTAATCAACAGATCTAGGAATAACCCCCTTTCGAAAAAAAATATTTTTCTCCATATATGACGGAGTTATGCTCGAACATACATAAAAGAAATATAAACAGCTGAATTGATAACCTTCTCCCTTATGAAGTCGGTTAAAATAACGAAAGAATTGCTTAACATTTACTGATTTTCTGTGAAGCCCTGGTACCATTCAGGTTGAACTGACAACATATGTGTTATATCGTGACTCACCCACGATCTACGACTAAATTTATCTAAAAACATTGGTTTTCAAAGGGTGATTGAATTGACGGACGGCTGATAAACATATATATATATATATATATTTGTAAATATAAGCACAGAACAAAATAAAAAGAAAAAGAAATGACCGTGCTCTTTACACAATTATATGTCCCGGGTGGGAATCGAACCCACTACCTCTGGCATAGCAGTCAACGTCATTAACCACTAGAACAACAGGCAAGTCGTTGAGAACAGAATGAAAGTAGTTATAAAATACGTAATACAGGTAAACCTGTAGTTATTCTACAAGCAATGTTGCAACATTATAAACAAACATAGTTCATTCGCGTTAAGAAAATAGTGACGTATCGATAAGTCCCGCACCTTGACCTATAATGTTCCAAGTAATTATAGTTTCTTGCGAAAGCTTGGAACCTGGGCCTCACATTGCCATGCCTGTATCGACGCCATTTGTATCAGTAAGGAGTAACCGGGAGGCCATTGGTCTTATATAGTTAGTAGAATAAGAAAAAACTAAAACATTTACCTGATGTATTTGTTGAGGCTGTTGTTGAATTGTCTGTCGATGTTGGTCTTCTGTTTCTACCACAACTTGCTCCATGAACGTGTTGCCACCTAACAATAACAATTTTTGTTTAATTGAAATTTTTATAAAAATTACTATGCAAGTGTAGAGAAGCGGGTTTTTATATTCCTTCAACACAAAGACAGGATCCTCCGGTTGATGTTGGTATGAGAACTTTTCATACCGCGATACAGTTTTAGCAGTTACTCCGTAGTTCGGATTAGATGGCACTGTAGTATATTTTTGTTTCATTGTATTTGGAGTCCGCAAATAATTATGATTATTCTTTTTCATGTGACTTCTACGTATTTGTATGATGAAAATAAACTTACTTGTTGTACTTGTAGTGGAGTTAGATGTGACCGTTTCACACCCGAAGAGACAGTGCTGCACTGTCCACCGCGGTTCAAACGGTATGTGTGTTTTGACCTGGAATTATTAGTACCATTGATAATTGTCCATATTCTTAATCTGTGTGGTGACGGACTGTCGCCACCTCTATTCATCCCGTGGGTGTCGTATGAACTGACTAAGGGAGTAAACAACAATTGGTCGCAATTAGTCAGTCAACTAACTAAACCAATCCACACACGTGACTCATGACGTCACGTCTAACTCCGCCTCCATACCATAAATCAATTGTCTGACTCACTATCTTAAAGTTTAAGTACGCGCCGACATATTGAAATCAAACAAAACTAACATTCGCGTTAAGAAAATAGTGACGCATCGATCAATACGCACACCCTGACTAATCACGTTAAAAGTTAACCTACAAAACGATAATTTCTTAGAACTTGATTGGTCAGGGTATGGGTCTAGAACCATGCGTCACTATTTTCTTACCGCGAATGGACTATAGCAATCAAGATGGACTCACCTTCAATTCAGTAGTTAACATAAGTATATGCCTACACGGCAATCTGAACACTTTGCTAAATAAACACGAACACTCTTGCGTTGAAGTGCCGTATTTGCAGATGGCGGCGCTACTGTGTTTTCTGTAATAAAACATTTTAGACTTTATAATAAATACTTTTGCCTAAGGAGAGGCCTATGTCCAGCCAGTGGACTACTAAAGGCTGTTGAAGATGAGTTTTGTAACTAGTACTCATATCAGCACATAACTTTTTCCGAGATCAGACAAGGAAATGATGAGAGCTTTATAGAGTTGATCATAACCAAGTTTTTAATACAAAAAAAAAAATGCAAACTTATACAGACCTAAATAAATGACAATAAATTGGCAATAATCCATATATTTTTTTAAATAACACCAACTTTGTGGCCTTGATTTTGCACTACTCCATTGGCATACACGTTGTTAGAAAATATATTTTCGTTGAACTCACTTTTCCATTCAGAAAAAAGAGTTGTGAACGGGAAGTAGAATTTAATTGTCTATATTTACCTGCCAGCTCTATCGTCGAGGCACTTTTGGGCTAGTTTGGTTTGGTGAGACATTAAATTATACGCGTACTGCGTAATTGTGTCTGTTGGTGACTGCTTAAGGTTCTCTGTTTCCTGAAAAAAAAAACTTTATAGTTGGTAGATTCCAAATGTTTGAATGGTCGTGAAGACCATGATATTGGCGTCAGCTGTCATGATTATTAGTCATATTAGTGAGGGGATCATAGTATTAATTGAATATTATAATAACTTTACACATCTCACACACAGTCAACTGATCCCAGACTTGACAGAGCCTGTGTTATGGTAACCAGACTGCTGATCATTTTTTAGAAGAAGTTCACAAACGATCATGATTATCACACAATTATTTGTCCTGGGTAGGAAGCGAACCCACGTCCGCCTGCTAAGCAGTCAGGATTGCTAACCAGTGGACCATCAGGCCAGTCTTCAGGATTTCATTAAACACAATATAAATATAAAATCTCCATGTAACAATTCACAGTGATACTCGGTTACACCTGCGTATACTACGTATGTCCAGCAGTGGACTACAAAAAAATATGGAAAATCCCATAATAACCACTGACTTTTACTATCACTGGAAACTTCTAGAACATCGTTGATTATTTTGGAATGTCATCGAACTTTCGTCTGGAATATTCGATTATTTACCCTAATCGATAACAGATGGCGCCACGCGTCTCAACAAGAGGTACCGCAATTTTATATTCTAATGTGGTCTAAGAGCCGCCTGGCCAGCGTGGTATAGTAGGCCAAAACTTCTTTTCACGGACTTAATAACGGACATACTAGCACACATCAAAACAATGTTGTGGTATATTTAATAGTGCCATTGTATCTACCTGTGAATTGCAAAAGAGTGGCCATGAGTTTGTTTGCCCTTTCTTCTCATAAGGCTCAACCCCTTGGAAACGGGCGGTTGTAGATCGGCACAGGCATATCATACATTTTGTATGGGTTTGATTTTTGTTAAATTTATTTGGTTACTGTTCGACAAAACAGAGATTGTTACTTTTGTGTGTGTTGATCTATGACTTTAGAGTCTACATGGAAGACGATTTCAAACAATTTTGGAAATTTTATGAAATAAAGAAAGTTTGAGTTTGAGTTGAGTTGAGTTTCTAAGGAGGCCTATCTGCAGCAGTGGACAAGTGAAGGCTCTTGATGTGACGTGATCTGATGTGAAATACAGAATTGGAATTTGGATCCATGTGACAAAAAATTATGATCCAAAGTAAATTGAAACTCGGGTCAGGTGTATTGATATATAAAATAACTTACTCTTAATCTGCTGAGCGCGAAGGTCCTCCTCTCGTTCTCCAGCTGATTGGCTACGTTGAAGAATAGGGAGACGAACTCATCAGACTGCACGTGATCTCGGACAAGCGACTGGAACTTCGTCACTAACCGTTCTAGACCCTGTAAAATTAAAATGACGGGCAACTTTAATTTGAGTTTTACGCTTACACTGAAGAAGTTGAAGTAGGAAATAGCAAAAAACGTGCGAGTCATGCTATCACCATTGTCACTCCATTGACATTACCATTACGAATTTATGTTAGTAGAATACCGATATTTTGACCATCTTAATAGGGTGTCAATGAAGACAGTGGCTGGTACGTTAGCATAAAGTAGCAGAATTGAGGCCCTGCTCGTTTGGTGATGAAAATATTAATAATCCTGCATTCTACGATCACAAGTTACTTACTTTGTGCAATATATTCGTGTAGTTGTCGGCTTCGAGCCACGTGTCGAGTTTAGCCATGACACCGTTAGGCCTCGTCATCAGCTCCCACAGCCGCAGGGTACCTGCACCCGTGCCGATTATACCGCGTTTTAACGCCTGGAATACATATATGCTAGTTATTGGTCAAGATTCGTTGGACAATAAGATAATAATAATAATGTTTTCGAACATCGAACCCGAGACCTCAGCACAGAAGTCGCATAAGCTATCACTGCACCACCGAGGCAGTCTAATGGTAATTTGTTAATTATTTACAACATATATAAAATGTTTTTAATTTAATAAATCTGTCCTTTTGTTGGTATTTTAACAGTGTCAAATCTAAAATAGGTTGAGGAACTGGTGTCATATCTTCTCAACACAAAGTGAGGATCCTTCGACCAGGCCGCCAGTTGATCTCCGGACATTATTATTTCGAACACGCCTGGGAATTTTAATTGCGTGAAGAAGGATCTGTATTTATCGTGTTCAGTTCGTCTATTAGAGTATGTTTTGCTGTGCTTTTAAGTCCCACATATACATTAAGCTATGATATACATTTCATAGTAGTTTTAAAAGTTTCTCCTTGAAGAAAAATATTAGTATAATATAAAGTGAGTGTAATGTAAGTAGTGTATAGAAGTGATCACCTGCAGCTGTGGAGCGGCGTGGTCTCCCCGCAGCAGGGCGAGCGCGTAGGTCTTGACCCTGGCGGCGACGTCGTCGGCGGGCAGCACCGCGTCGTGCGCGCGCGCAACCTCCACGCACAGGCGCGCGGCCGCCCGCGCCGCCTGCCACACCGAGCACGTCACGTGCGCCGACGGGAACGCGCCGCGCACCGCCTGCGCCGCACACGTACAGACATTGTACTCGCATCGAGTGATAGCAATCGCACCGAAATTAAACGAACGTGACGTTTACCTTACCTGTTGGGACTTAGTCGGATCGCAGACGACGCATCTGACTTGCCTCCACGCCGGGTTACACGATTTGAAAGTCTCCAACAGCCACGTCAGATCGTCACCGATGAGAGTTGATATACCTGGGAATTACGATGACAATAAGAGTATGCAACGATTAATATAGAGTATGCATTGAAACATAGATATATTTATAGATGTGCTATATATATATATCTATATTTGAACAGAATAACTAACCAGCACTGACGATAACAGATTTCCCGTTACCATCTTCAGCTAGGAACAGAGTGACATTGTGCTTGATAGCTGGAGTGCCTGTCCCACCCACAGTCGGTATTGTGCTGTTGAACTCAATACCTGTGTAACATAAGGGAAAAATTTGAATGATTAATTACTTAGAAAAGTATCATTGTAATCAACTTTTCTCTTAATACAATTAAATATACAGTGACTTTAATTTCTAAACAATAAGTTATAAACTAGTTCTAACTAGGACATGAGCCTCTCCTTAAACAGGAGGTTTTCGGTTTCTGATTCTGGCAGCATGCCAGTTCTATTTTACGGTGTATATAGTGATATTGGAATTAATATTGTTTAAAAATAATAAAAATATATTATATTTAATTATAATAACCTCAAGAACAGGGTTATGAAAAAGAGTCGTCAAGAACAAGAATGTTTGTTTTCAGTTTTGTGCATCTCTCAAAAGGAATAAATTTTCACTGTTTTTGAAACATTCTTCATTAATGCTCATCTTCTATTGGTCTTCTTTTTCAATTCGAACCATTAATTACATGAGCGCGTTAAAACAAAAAACCTTTTCAGTTTTATCATATTAGTATTGATAGTTTGTTACCTGTTTCTATACATAAAAACTGAGGCACAGCATTGAATGCCAGCTGCATATTCGATGTGGTGAGGTACACACATTGTATGCAGCCAGATTGTGAATGTAATAATTTAACACCAGCATCTGTAACAAAGAAATGTACTTTATTAACAAAAATGCTGCAAATGTGAGTTTGTTTTTTTGCTTTCAGACCTAACTACACTACCAATTGGATCGAATCCTCACCAGTACACTACCAACGTGAACCCACTCCTAATACAAGCAATTTGGTTTGCCTGAAGGGGGAATACTAGTAATTTCGGTTGCTAGTACGCCTTTAAAAAAAACCAATACATTTTGAAAACATTTTCTATGAGGTACAGAAAAAAAGATATATTATGTTTCATCTAGAAAACAAGTATTGTTTTCTAAGGATAGTAAAAGCAATCAAGGCCACTGTCTTAAGCAAGTTCTACATAATCAAATATACATATAATATCTTTGTTTCTAAAATACTTTACACCCTTTTATGTGACATTGGTTAAAATAAATGGAACTAAACAAAGGGTTTTCCTTCAGTCTCTCTCTTTTCCTATAATCAGAGTTAAAGCGGATCTGATGTTTTCGGCACGTGTCTAATAATTAAATCGCGAAAAGCGAATTTTCTGCCCCGTGAAGTCATTTAAAGTAGAGCCTAACTCAGTGTCTAGAAATATATATATAGCCAGGTTCTTTGACATCTAAGATGAACTCTTCCATGTCAAAATCCATGAAAAACATGGGATAACTAATTAAAATTCAAAATAACATCTACCTACATCGTCTGTCGATGTGCGGTGGACAAGCCTTAGTAATAGTTGGTCTTTTTTTATTGAAATTCTGGGCTTTGAAGGCATTGGATACATTCTTGCATGATTAATCACAACAACAGAGTAGGGAATAGTCAAAAACAAGAATATTTGTTTTCAGTTTTGTCAATTTCTCTTCTAGTCTATGCATATGTAAGAAGACGTGTTAAGACGTGAAAACATGGCAACACTTACTTTTTTAAGACATTTCCGTAGACTGGACGAGGGTGATAAAATAATCACGCTGACAAAAGTCGCTTGTGTGAGCACTAGCGGTCCGAAAACTCATGCTTAAATATGAAAGCATTACTCACCATAATTTAACTGTAGTTTCCTAACAACAAAGTCACATTTCTGATTGAGCCAGCGCACAGCACCAGTGCCAACGGCCACCAGCTGTTCCTCAGTTGTCACGATTTGAGATTCAGTGCTTCTGGAACAAAGGGATTATCTAAACTAATACGTACTAGTATTTAAGGCATGCTTAATTAATTCTGAGGTCTAAATCTAACTTTAAGTTACAAAAAAGATTACAAATCTCGTAATTACACATCAACAGCCTTTAATAATGAATACACGGTGACATGTGACGGTACATGGTGACATTCTGTAGACATAATATGTCACCACACAGATACGGATATAGTAGGCCAAAACCTCCTTTCTAAGGAGAGGCCTATGCCCAGCAGTGGACTATAAAAGGCTGTTGATGATGATTACTAAAGAAAACGGGCAATAATGTATTTTATATATGTATTGTATAACAACACGCTATGTACCTTTCCGTGGTCTCCGCAGGTGGATTCTCAATTATGGCAACTTCATACTCTTGTTGGCCCTCAACCTGAGCCCCACTGCTGATTTCAAACTGCTGGTATGTACTTTGTTGCTCTTCCACTTGTTGCTGTAATCATAAACAGATTAAAGATATAGGTTTTACGGCCGTCTGGTCGTCTCGGGATTAAGGTAGGGTATAATTTTGTGGGGAAATTCAAGGGATAGAGATATTATTTTCAAGACGCAGAAGAGATGTGTTAGAGCTATGTTTGCCTTGAAAACTACAGATAGTTGTCGTCCATACTTTCTTAAATACAAACTATTTACTTTGCCTAGCTAGGCTATGTTTGTTAAACGTAATCCAGGTTTATTTATGTTAGCGTCAGATTTATATAAGAGACGACAGCGAGATGTGCATCGACTTTGTGTGCGTCGAACTAATACTGCATTGTGCCGTAAAAGTATTTTATTATACCCCTTATATACAATAAACTGCCAAAAACAGTGAAGGAAGCAGACTTTAATATGTTCAAGAAAAAAATAAATGAATTATTTGTAAACCAATGCTATTATACTCAAACGGATTATCTAAACGACTAATTACACGATGACATTTAAGCTAATTTCTATTATTACGAGTATTAGATTAACGTCGAACGCGAAAAATACTCTTAATTTTCATTAGGCCTTGTTGCTTTGGTTGTTATAGCAAACATTTATTAATTATTCATTTGGATGACAATTGATTTACTATTTTTATTTTATAATTGACTAAGCTCGTAACTATTATTATGTTTTTTTCTGCCCTATGACATCTTGACAAGACAGCAACAGTCATCTTGAAACACAGGTTTACCCTAATCAGACTGGCAGAAATTAAAGTTTTTGAACTAAATTTTATTACATACCTTCATGTGTAAAAAATGTGTACAAACAAAATATTACCTTAGTTTTACACTAGTGTTACTTAAGGATTAAATAAACTATTGTTTAAGAGCTATTTTAAATAAAAATGTCCTACACAGTTACATATATTGGTCAAATGACTAGCTGTATCTTTTCCACCTGTTTTTTTCTTTTTGTATAACCCATATTATCGCAAATAAATTGAATTGAATTGAATTGAATGAATGCAGTGTGGGTTTCGAAATACGTCTGATTGTTCGAAGAAAAATTAATTGAGTTCATTATAGACACAGCTGACATAGGATTTTGAATTTCTCATTATCCTTTTATAAATAAGCGCCAATCATCTTGTATGGACCACATCTTCGTAAATATCATCAAATATCGAAATTAAGCATTTTACATACCTCTTCTCACTATCGAAAGTAATCGAAAGGATTTTTTTTCTTTAAACAATATGAATCAAATATCTCTATGATTTTATTCAGTATATTGTCATTTTTGTGTGGGTATTGGTATTAAATAGTCCAGGATGAATGACGGATAGCGACGGAGATCACGGATAACGGAAGTCGGATCTAGTGCGTAAGCTACCATAGAAATAATTCTACTACTTCGGACCGTATTTTCACGGATCGCTTCAGATTATCTCAGAGATTCTGATCGGACGTAATGCGAAACCGCTCTATGAGTAGGATTTAATGGCCAATACTCAAAATTGAGGTCGGTGAACTCAAAAAAAAAAAGCTCTTTTCGACAACATTAAAACCATGGTGTTCATATATTACAACGTTAGATACTTTCGAGTGTAATCAAATAACTTATCAGCGTAGTGTGAACTTTTAAACGATTACCTTACCTTATTACAAAAATTACGATTTAACCCACTTTGAGTTTTGCTTAAATGTGAAACTTTTCCTTTTCTGGACTTCTTATGATTACCAGAAGTTGATGCAGTATTCACTTCTTCGCATGTTGTCGTATCACATTCCATCAGTTCCATTTCAAATATATAGTAATCACAAAATTATGATGCCGGTGCTTAGTATTACTTCGATGATAATGTATTTATACACGACAGTCACTACAGTTACACAATAATGCAGTAACCCGTATCATAAATTTCAAAGACAGGCTTGCAGGAACACCACAATTATAAGAAACACAATAAATAAAATAGTCCTGTATTCTCACAGATCAGCGCGGGAAGAATAAATAACGTACCGCAAGCTACTAACGGATACTAACAATTTTTTTTTTTTAAGGTAGTTAGAAAAATCATTCACGATGTTAATTCGTCACTTGAGATTGTTTTGTAAAGGCCCGAGTACACAATGGTCCGTGCGGGCCCACGGCACGCCATCGCTATTGTGTACAGGGGTCAATGATATACAGTGGCGGATGATTAGCCATCGTGGGGCGCAATCGGGATGTTGTCAGTATTTTTGGCACACTTAAAAAAAAGTGACCTAGCGTTACCTGTGGCATTAACACAGTCGCTCTTTGTTTAGTTTCTTTTTTGTTTCATGCGAATATGTTATAAATGTATGAAAAGTGTCCCACTATACAAGATATACATATTCCTAGTGCAGGAGATGTTTTAAAAAAAAGACATAATAATATTTACTTTCGTGTAGGTACATCACAAATGTTTCCCTAGTCAACAATGAGCTATGCACCATTGTGTGAACACCCACATGATGTGTTGTTCCGGGTCATCTTCAAAATGGCCAGACTAAGGCAGCACTTTTCAAATTCCACGAAAACAAAGTCACGGGCACCAGCTAGTACAATATAATGTTAGTCTAACCTTAGAAAAGCTTAGTCTTTATGGGCTTTTAGCTTGTCAAGCCCCTTGATTACCAAACTAGACAAAGCTAGACAGCTTTAAAAACTTCAAAATACTTTAGGCCTTGGGAACATTACTTTCTAGTGTTTTAGGGGGAATCAGAAGGGAAGCAAAAGTATAGTTTGTAAGGGCGTCTTTTTCCCAAATCAGGTTGGGGTCAGCTTTAAGTCTACTAACTAACTTAAATTTTTAATCCATGACATGCCATCAGAGGGCTTAGTGCAAGTTTATTTCACACACACTCTCGATGGCGAGTGCGTTTATCATTGCGATTGGTGTACATTTCAGTGCAGGCCAATCGTAGCGCCGAACACGGTCACTGTTGAGAGCGAGTTGATATTAAATAAATTTGCACTTAGCCCACTGATGGCATGGAATTATAATTGAAGTTCAGCCATATTGTCGTAAACTTAAAACCCTAGTTTGGCTGAGAGGAAGGAGGAAAGTCATCCCTTGTAAACTATACTTTTTAAGGATGAAAAATGAATACCTAATAATACTCTCTATGATGATGATGACAACTCTGACCTTTTTAAGACAATAATTGATAAAGTATTATAAATAAAAATAAAATAGTTGAATAAAAAATGAGTTTTTGAAGAAGATTAGTCTGTTTAGACTAGATGCTACTACAAGACAACACTGTGTATATGCAGAAGGATTGTCTTGATGAAAAGAAAAAGAAACTGGATTACATAAAAAAAATACAACTCCCATTTTAGGAATATATCCTTGTGTAGCAGGGGATGGTATAAACATACATGAAACAGACACAAAGAACACCCAGACTCAGAACAACAATTTGTGGATCACACAAAGTGTCTTCCCATGTGGGGTTTGAACCCACAACACTCGGCGTAGTTGGAAGCGGATTTACGACCGCTTAAACCGCTACGCCATCCGTGCAGTTCATAATTCATCTCAAAAGACTACTTACTGTACTGACTTCTGTGTTGCTCTGTACAAAATTGGCGTTTTCTTCTTCAGGCTCCCCTTTCACATCGTATATCGTCTCTGCCATAACGATCCGCCCAGAAGGATCTACCGTCCACATGCCACCAAATGCGAAATTTGACGGATTGCCGCTCTGTTCGTAAAGAATAACAGTATTTGGGCCCAGCTGCACTGGTTCTCCCTTCATGTTTACGAACACAGATTGCTCAAAGTTACCCTCAACCAGCTGTCCTGTGTGTACAATCTGTTGACCCTGCTCTACTGGTACCTCTACAACTTGATTCACCACTTCCACTTTTTCTTTCTCCTCATTTTTTCTATTCACCATTATCTTTTGTTTCTTCTCACTTTCAGTCGGTTCGTCACTTTTCCGTTTAATAACAGTTTTCTTTTTACTCTTTTTGTCCATTTTTGCACTTAATTTCACTACAATTTATACTAAAACGAGCGTGTTAACGCTAAATATTGTGATACTTTTTTCGGAAGCCCGCCTCGCCCATACATTGGACATTGTTTACGATTTTTGATATTATTTGCTTATATTCAAAATGTAAGTAATCAGCGACATAATTGATAGCATTATCTTTAGTAAATAAACAATACCAGCACTAGGTACAATGTCACAAATAGAGACAATTTTTATTTTACTAGTGCGAGAAAGACAACTCAACTCAGATGGACGCCATTTTCAAAATGGAGGGCCGTTCTCTCTTTCTAATAATATCACCTTCTCTCTTTTCTTGGTTCTAAAACTCTTATTCCGTTCTGAAACATTTGTTAAAAATTGAAAAATTGAACAAGTTAAAAATTGAAATGTTCAGGGTAAGTTTTAAATAACTTTTCTTTGGTACGGTTTAAGAGTAAACAGCCTCATATGTCTTGGTCAATAAATTGTTGCTCTTCCTGCTCAATAGCTTTATGCTTTTATAGGGTTTGACAATCATTTGCAAAATAAATATGTTAGGTTTTGTACTTGAGATACTATGGAGTACACCCATTGTCTCCATTAATGTATCCCAGGTTATTTATTCTGGTCTAATAAGGTGGGATACAACGAACTGAGGATCAGAAAGGAACTCACACTTGTTTCGTCTCTATTCAGGGTACTTGGGGTTGGGATACATAATGCGGACATGTTAGGGCGAGTCACCATATGTGTTCTGGTTAGTTTATTCACTATGACAGCATTAAGAATAAACCTAAGCTTTTAATGATAGTTGTTTTTAATGGAAATAAATAACAGGTAACGAATTGGTGACTCATTGCTAAGTGCCTCGGTAGCAATCTTTCCAGTGTCGTCACTATACTAGACTCTTGGCTAACCATTTTTATATTCCGTACATCAGCGTAAAATATTGTTATCTGTAGTTGACTCAACCATCGTGACTTTGACAGTTCATTCGACAGATTAAGTCAAAATAAACTTTGTACTTCGAAGTGGGTGAAATTGGGTTATTCTATCTTTTGATAGCAATAACCTTCAAGCACTGTTAATTAACTTTCATAACAGTTATTGTTTACGTGTGTCAAGGTTAAACTTAACTAGTTTTCATGCTCATTCTTAATACACTTACGATCCTCGTTCAAGTCGGTGTCATAGTGTTAATGTCATTTCTGTCAATGAACATTATTCGTTACTTTGGTGGAAGTGTTAAGAAAATGGCTTTAATTGCTCCTGCGATGTTTGTGAATCACGGAGGAGGTCCAATGCCTCTTCTAGGAGACAAAGACCACGCAGGACTTACAATTTTCCTACGTGACGAGGTTAAAAAACATTTAAACTTAGAGGAAGTTAAAGCAATCATATTAGTGACTGCACACTGGGAAGAAGACGTTGTAACGATATCTTCTAGCAAACAGCACAATCTATATTTCGATTATTATGGTTTCCCGCCAGAATCATACAAATATCGCTACGATGCACCTGGTGATCCAGAATTGGCGGAAAGAATACACGAAAATTTAGCAAAGGCTGGCATAAATTCAAAATTAGATCCGAAAAGAGGTTGGGATCATGGAGTTTTTGTGCCAATGATGTTAATAAATCCTGCCGCCAATGTGCCTATAATTCAAATGTCCGTGCTCAACAACCAAGATGCTGAGCAACATTATAAATTAGGACAAGTTTTAAACCAATTTAGAAAAGAAGGAATAGCTATTTTGGGATCGGGAATGTCATATCACAATATGAGAGAGTTTATGTATAGCAGAGGGAAGTCTTACGTTGTGAATAAAGATTTCGATGATTATTTAAATCAAATTTGTACTGCAGAAAGCGAGGAAGTTAGGAAAGAAGGATTAGTTGCCTGGAGAAAGCAGAAAGGGGCAACAGAAGCTCATCCAATGCATGCAGCTGAACATTTTATGCCTTTGATTGTGATAGCCGGAGCGGGCGGATCAAAACCAGGGCAACGGATCTTTAACTGGGATATGAGCGGGACTTTCAGGCTTAGCGGTTTTGTTTGGAAAGAAGAATAAAGGAAATGTAGGTTGCTACTGATTATCAGCATACACTTATAATCATTTTATGCTGCCAAAATTGCACATAATTATTTACTAGAAAACAAAAGTACAGTTTTAGAGACTGATAAAAAGAAAAGGAAAAGGACTATATATATATAGGATTTTGGAATAAGAAACAATATATTCAATTTATGAAAACTAGGTTTAAAGTGAAGTTTCCTTGACAATTATTCATATTACAAAGAAAAACAATCAAGCTTTGAGTTTCTTACCATTTCTGCATTTTACTTAACTTATTGTCTGCATTTAACCCCTGGCTAACAATATGGAGCTTTCTGTGATTCTTCACTACACAAGAATTACCCTCCTCAAGTAAATGGCCGAATCTACCCCTGAAAGCATTTGAAATGCAATAGACAGTCAATTCTTTTTCTTTGTTGTTATCATGCAATCCTATTTAAAATTTACAAATTCAAAATAATAACTTTTCCTTGACATTATTCTAACATTTGCTTTTTAAGTAGTATTGTAATTTGTTTTTAAAGTTTTTAGCCTTCAAATAACTTATAACTGGTTAAACTTATTGAAAGTTTTCTTGGCAGACTAGAAACTAGAAAAAGATATAATTCCATACTTGTTTGACAGGAGGTTACTTATTAAAAAAAGAGACTGGTGCAGTAATAGGAGTCACAAATTATAGAATTAATCAGTTGATGAACAAACTTGCATTGTAGTCAATACTTTTTAAATTTTTCTTTAGCTTTTTACCATGGATATCTCTGCCTTTCTTTTTAATAGTTTCAAGGGTTTTTAAGGGTTTCAAAGTATAATCACAAATAATATTTGCTTTAATAATTACTTGCTGCCAAACACATGTGCCTTGTAGATGTAATAATAAGCAATAAGTTATCTATACAAATAAATATAATTGAAGTGTCTGTTTGTAATGTAAAAATAATAGGTTTTTTCATGCTCACATGGTTATTTACATGATACCTATGCCTTAAAACCAGTTTGAATAGTCAGTCTGTCTGTCTTTCTATCTGTTTGTTCTGGGTAATCTTCAAATCATCAAATGAGTGAAGTTGGCGGAACCCAAACAACCCTTCCCCTTGATTCTGAGACACAAAGGGTGGTAACACACTTGTGACTTGAGTTGCAGGTGTCTATTAGTGGCGGTAGCCACTTACCATCAGGTGACCATCTGCTTATTTGCCTCCTATACCAAAAAAAACTTTTTTTTATATTACTGCTTTTTAACTATTTCACTGTTGCATATATTATGAATTTAAAATAATATAGATTTATTACAGCGAACGAAAATAGAATAGAAGTACATTTTTATATTAGTCTATCCATAGTCATGTCTAGATAGCCTAGCAACACTGTGAACGAGTTGAAAAAATGTGATCAACTGTTGACCTCTAAGTTTCTTTCCACTGTCGCTATCTGTAATTAGCTGTGTTTTCGCCGTGACGTTTATTGCACATTAGCATAATAAAATTTACTCATTTATTTTAGTTGTTTTGTTGTGCGTTACTCGATATAGACATATAGTATGATCTACGACCTTTATTTAATTTTACTATTTATTAAGTACGGAGTAACTACTGAATGAGAATTGCTAATCCTGTATCGCGATATGAAGAATTCTCTCGCCGATTAGCATATATGTAAATAGCTTCCCAACATCAACCGTGGGCCGCGGCTAGCCAGGCATGATCATCTCGCCTGGTCAGAGGATCCTCCCTTTGTGTTGGAGGAACACGATATCCGTTCCTCCACAAGCAAAAATTAAATCAAGGAAAATGCCCAACATTCTGTGTACATCATTTGTATTTTTTTTTAATCTATAAAATACAATAGGGAGGTATTTTCTCTTGTTTTCATTTTTCATGATTTTAAAGCTGCCTTTCTATTAATTGTCACCTAAGATTTGATGGCTTTGGCTCGTAAAGAAATATTACACTACTAATTTGTTGTAAACACCTTTTAAAAAATTGTTAAATACCGAAAAGATGTGTACAATTAAGCAAATCCATAAAGCTAGGTTTGTGTTTTCATTAAGTCTTTAATATTTAAGTTTCGTTGACAATCTCAATCTTATAAAAAAAAGCCGCTTAGGCACTGAAACCTAGGTGCGATTAGTAATTATTGCGGTTAGTCCAGTTTGTGGCTATACTAAGTTGTGGTTAGTCCAGTTTGTGGCTAATACAATTTGCGGTTAGTCCAGTTTATGGCTAGACTAAATCTTAGCAAAATTAACTTATGGTTGGTTTAACCTTCGCGCCTAGTAATGTAATATGGAAGGTTATATTTCTTGTTTAATACTTTAATAGCTAAACATGTCATGTATCTAAACATAACACAAATTGGATCTTGTTTTCATTCGAGAGATGTGTATGAGTTTCTTTTATCATAAAAAGTAGTTTAATAATCAGAAATATTTTGAATGCAATAAAAATGCAATAAATTGTTAAAAATATTTTTTTTATAGGTATTTATATTAAGGGACCATTTGATACCTTATTTTTTAAGAATTATGTTATGTATTAATACGAAATAAAATTTTATGAAACTGTTAAAAAAAATATATATTTTCATTTTCCTATGACACAAACTAGACATATAAAAGCATCTTAACTAATATTTTAAGTGAATGTGAGTTAGCCAACAGTGTCTAGCTGTGGACAGCTATAGACTAGGATGATGGGGATGATGTGAATTAGTTCAACGTTTGTATATTACAACATGTACAACATCGGTGCTCAATCAGTCACAATGTAAATTTTCTCACATGTGGTATATTCACACCGTAAACGATTTTACATAAATTTTCATTGGTACTCGGCTGCTCCTATTATTTGTAGCGTGATGTTATATTGACGACCGGATGGCGTAGTGGTTTGTGTAACGGACTGCTGTTCCAAAGGTCGCGGGTTCGATTCCCGCTCAAGTCAAACATTTGTGTGCATGAACATTTAATGTTTGATTTGGTCTGGGTGTTTATATGTATATTATGTATGTATTTACAAAAAAAGTAAATATGTATTTATATCAGTTGTCTAGTACCCATAGTACAAGCTCTGCTTAGTTTGGGACTAGATGGCGTTGTATGAATGTATGTATAAAATATTATTATTATTTATTATTATAACATCACATCACATACATGTCATATATAGCATATAGCCTTGCTCGATAAATGAGTTATCCAACATTAATTTCCCAATTCGAACCAGTAGTTCCTGAGATTAGCGTGTTCGACCAAACCAACTAACTCTTCAGTATCTGTAAATATAACAATACTTGCGTGAAACTTGAGGTGATATATTTTTAAAACGATTTGAAAAAGGAGGCGGTTACTGAATCTGTACAAATAAATAAAATTGAAGTTTCAGTTTGTGATGTCAAAATCCAATTTAAATAATAATATATAATAATAATAATATTTATTTAGATAAACAATAAAATAATTTTAATAAATGGTTCTTTAATTTATAAATAAAATACATTTGTTATTTGTTTGCCCGAACTAGGTTGAACCTGTATCTCGGGAATCTAAAATAGTTTTTGCCTGTCTATCTGTTTGTTCCGGATAATCTTCAAAACGGATTTACTATTTTTGTTAATATTTTACTACCACGTAGCTGTCTATATAAGGAGTAACTTAGGATATTTTTCCTCTCAGAAAACCCATATAAAATTTTGTCCGATCCATGAATTGAACCCGAGATGTTATGGACTGCGGACGCGCACGAAGTCGTGGGTTCCAGCTAGTATTTAATAATAATATTTTTCGGACATCTGACATCCAAAACAAATATTTGAAGATCATACAAACATTTGGTCCGACCGAACCGAATCGAACCTGAACCTGAGACCTCAACACAGCAGTCGTCGTATACTCTACCATTACACCACCGAGGTAGTCAATTTAAGGTTTTGTTTATATGTTATCTTCTCCATATGTCAATCGGTTTCAATAAAAAAAAAATATATTACTTTGTTTCACTTGGTTTCATTCAAGGTTGGGCCTATTTAAATTTAATGAAAATATTCCATCTTTAAGAGGGAAAAGGGAGCCGATGAAGAATACAGTGTTTATTTATTATTATTTATTTGGCCATTAGCCTTAATTTAGCCTTAATACGATTAATCTGAAATTAGATCATCAATATTCTCATCAATTTCTTAGAAGTTAGTAATTTAAATGATTTGCGTTCCGTGAACTGAACATAAACGACAAGAAATCAAAGTTTGTTCTGTGTTCCTCACACAATGCGGCAAAAATTAATACGCAAAGGGAGGTACTTACTGCCATCTCCTGTAAGCAAGATATGCTTGCGAAGGAGACGGCGGAGTGGGACCGGGAGAGATTTAGAGCTCTTCCGGTCCGCCAGGCCCGGGAACGGGCCAGGTACCGCAGACGACTCAGGCACCGGAGGTCGCAGAACGAACTCCGTCCTCCATAGGCGCAGGCCTAGGGCTGACAGGTGAGGCTATCTGTCATCCTAGCAGAAGCAGGCCGGGTTTGCGGCGCGACGCCCCGTTAGTTTGTAGAGCGGGAACACCGTGGTTCCCACACACGAGGGGGTCATCTATATGGCGTAGATGGCCCGGGGTACGTCGGGGTTCCAGGGATTTCCTTTCTAGGATATACCTGGTTCCCCACTACTGGTACCTGAGATGGTTTTTAGTTGGTTAGAGTCCGACATAACCACCAGGGGTTGGTATCCGAGGAGATTTCCGCACAGAAAAAATAAGAAAAGTTGAGGTACTTACTCTTAACTTTTTTAAACTATTTTTCACCGGTGTGATTAATATAATTATGAGAGTATACATATTCTATTAATCACGCCGGCAAAGTGGAAAAAGTAAAAAAAAGATTAAGAGTTAGAACCTCCCCTTTTCTATTTTTTTCTGTGCGGAAAAATATTAAAACGTGAGTTCAGCGTCTGTCGGGTTAGTTAATTATTCTTCGAATTTATTAAACACGATAAGTTGGTAGGTATCCAATGTGTTATTGTGTCGTCAGTGACGTCTGACCCCGACAGTGGGTGGCTATCATATTAAAGCAACGACCCATGAAATAATAAATATATTTGCATTGACAGGGTTGATTATTTTGGAATGATGTATTATTTGTACTTAGTTTTAGCGGGAGAGTCATGTTTTGGCACTAATGTGCTTGATAAGTAATCCGGCCACATAGAAAACCAGCGTTAAGGAATGCTTTGGTTGCGTTGCATCGAGTCAGTGAGGTTACCGAAAGCTCAACCCTCGCTAATTCCTGGGTTCCTGGGGGGAGGGACTCAAATGGTGACAACGGACTTGTATCTTTTCACTGGCAGCCTTAGCTGTTGCGAGACCCAGGGCGGGTAGTTCATTGCGAGGACCTCGTGGAATTAGTTTTAATGATGATGATATTAGTTTTACTGGTGACACTTAAACAATACCCCTGCACGAGTGAGGCCCCGGACGGTTGCCCCTGCTCGCCACCCCAAAGGCCGCCCATGTATTTCTTGAGTAGCAGGTGTTTATGGACGCCGGTAGTCCCTTACCAGCAGGAGACCTGTATACTGGTCTGCCCCATATATAAAATTGTTTAAAATTTAAAAAATATTGTTTTAAAAGCTTAGAAAAAGCTTGAAAGTTACTAACTAAGTTACTTAGCTAGAAAACTTAAAAAGCTTAGTTAATACTTAATACCTTCTAATTTAGCGACATAGACCACCTAACACTGAGCATTGTTTACAAACCGCATAGGTTTTCTATAAAGGCTTATTTATAGTTAAGTTTTATTTTTATTTTATATCAACTAACATACATGTTATTTTATTAAAGGAGACCCACGATATCTTTAAACTTTAAAAAATATAGCCAAAAAACACCATTCCCAACCAATTATACCAATCATTACCATTACCAAATTAGGTTGCCAACATATTGTTGGCAACCCTAAGCTCTGTTATACTTTGTTATCACTTCTTTATTCATTAGCATTTGATACGTTTAACAGAGTGATCGTTAGTAAAATGTTTAAAATAATCTCGTTTTACACTTTAATAACAGTTACAGGAGTCATCACAAGTGACATATATTTCGCGCCATCTGTATTTTTGAATCATGGCGGTGGACCTCTACCTGTATTGGGTGACAAAGACAACTTAGAAATTGCAGAAGGCTTGAGAAATGTACCGAATATTGTAAAATTACATGAATTAAAAGCAATTATAGTTGTAACGGCACATAGAGAAGAAAATATTTTAACTATTTCGTCGGGTGAAAGACATTCCTTAGTCTATGATTATTCTAATTACCCGCCAGAAAGTTATACGTTCAAATACGAAGCTCCGGGTGAGTATTTTTTCCTTAATATGCATTTTGCAATGAAAAATACTGTCGATGTTTTTTTTTTGTTAAATTTCCTATGTTAATTTTGTCAAACTTGTTCTGTCGTGAACGGGAGGTGGGCGAGCGTGCTTAATATTTAAATTAGTTTTTAGGTATATTTATGGCGTCTTATAGACCTGCGATATTCAGAGAGCTTAGGTTTTCATCACGTTATTTTCAACGTAGGTACGTACAAAGAGAAGGCAGAAAGAGAATGTACTAACTTAATTACTCATTCTATTTAGTATATTATTAGGGCCGGTATAAGAATCTATATTTTATACATACTACGCATTGGCATACTCCTGGTTACGATACGGCATTATGTTGTGGGGAAACAGTGTACACTTTCAGGATTTATTTATATTACAAAAAAAAATGTATTAGAATTATCGAACAAATTGGAAATCGTGATAGTTGTAGGCCCTTCTTCATTAAATATAACATCTTCACACTACCATCATTATACATATTTGACATCTGCATATTTGTATCCAAGAACATGAGTCACTTCGCGAGAGTAAAAGACAATCACAATTTAAACACACGCCACAGAGACAGACTATACCTACCACCATCAAGAATTAAAATGCTAAACCAGAGCCCTTACTACATGGCTGTAAAAATATACAACAAATTACCTATCCACATAAAAAATGAAACGAAGACTACACTATTCATTAAAAAACTTAAAGCATTCTTAATTACAAAATGTTTCTATTCTGTTACAGAATACATTGAGGAAAAAAACACTTAACAAACTACATTTCTTATTACACGGAAAACAGAAAGCATATACCTAAGTACAAATCATAAAAAGAAAAATCGGTCGTGATGCACGGAAATGCTAGGGACAGTAGGAAAATGTGTATATGTATTAGTGATGTAGAATGTCGGGTGCCTTCGTATTTTTGCATGCTTTGTTCGATTGTTATACTGTACTATTGAGTCACTTAATTTGTATTGTTCAAAAAATGCTTGTACTTGTGTAACAATTTATTCTTCTGCGTTCTCTCTCAAATTTTTTGCAATGCCTGGAAAAGGCTTCTAAGTTGGGACTACTACATATAATTTTATAAGATCATTGATGTACACTTGGTTGGCAAATAAAGATTTGATTTGATTTATTTTAGCTGTACCACAAAAAAATCAGTTGAAGAACATTACAATTTAGAAAAGTATTAATCATTTTTATTTTACAATTAACATACAATAGTAACATTTAATTAACAATTAATTCATTGTGGACAACATACTTATACATTTCTAAATACGTACATATCATAGATAATTTACACCCAGACACAACAATGAACAAATGATCACACTCATCACACAACTAGTTTTCTAACTAACCTCTTTGACCTGCTGCGATCTTGTTTCCATTTCCCTACTAGAAAGAGAAAGAAAACTTGAAACAAAACCTATACCTACCAACCCCTCTGGCCAGCGTGTTATAGTAGGCCAAAACCTCCTTGCTGTATTCCTTATCCTAGCTCCCTCGGCCTATCCGTTTTTTTAATATATATATTCTCAATGTTCACTCCTAATATTCTTCCAATTTTCTTTATTCTCTAGTCTTCTCTCTAAACGATTACATAATCAAGGAGCCTCCTTGGGCTTGTGGCGTCAGGGAAGCGGCCAGCCATAAAAGAATAACGCCAAAAACTCTTTGCAAGTTTACCCCAAATGGAATAGGCACAACGGCATTTTGTTTTTGGCATAGGGAGGCAAATGAGCAGCATATAGATAGTAAAAGTCACTAGTGCCTGCTTAACACCAGATTTCTGTGAGGCCGTGGTATCACACCGGCCCAGCCGGCCCAGAGACAGTAGTAGTTGAAGGTGCATTGAGTTTTGACAGGTTGAATGCTAATGAATATAACTGAGGGATAAATATATACATATAAACACATGTATAGATACCATTAAATATACAAACAAATACATACACACCGATACCTACTTTATAAATCAAAAAAGACAACAACAGTTACATCATGCCTTAATATGTAAATGATTTAATTAAGATCCATAACATTCTTGAACCATTTTGCTTAAAACTGTTTATTGTTTGCGCTCGTCTTTATCGGCAATGTTTTCCACAAGCGTACAGCTTCAACAGTAAAATAATGGTCATAAAAGTTTGTGGAATGTGTGATAATATGATGATGGTGTCGTAGTAATGATCTAGAAAACAAACAGGCGACAAATCAACCGTAATCATGTCAATTTGTGCGTGACAATACCCTACAAATGTATAATTAATATAAACTAGATAACCTCAATTTTAATTAGACATCGATGCGCCATATTTACTTAATTAAAATATATTTGCTGTTATAGATATCACAATGCTTTTAGTTAACACATTTTAGAGTAAAACATTGTGTATCATGAAAGGTCAACAAAACATTGCCTGACATTTTATATGTAATAAAAGTGATTTATCTAATTTGACTGCACGGATGGCTTAGTGGTTTAAGCGGATGCCACGCCGCTTTCTACTGCCATGAATGTTGTGGGTTCGATCCCACATGGGGATGGGATGGGATTCCCACTGTTTGATCCACAAATTGTTGTTCTAAGTCTGGGTGTTCTTTGTGTCCATTTCATGTATGTTTGTAGTCTCCCGCGATACAGGATTTGTTCCTAATGCGGGAGTTGTCCTTATAACCTATTTCAAAAAGGAGAAGGTTCCTAGTTAGGTTGTGTTTCATTATGTTGTTATCTCAGAACTATGTTATTTATAAATTGATTGGGAAAATTGCGACTCCCATCAGACCTCCACAGCCTACTTGGGTTTACTAGGCAATATCGAAGTTTAATTGAAAGACTGTAGTCGGACTTTTTAGGGCTCAAACTACCAGTAACGATTGCCACAGATGTATTGAGAAATGGTCACCCATCCCAAAAATGACCTGGCTAGGATTGCTTAACTTTGCAATATGTTAACCTACGCTTACCACTGAATTATGAGCCCCGAGTGTCGTTACAATAGATTTGTTTAAATTTTCAGGTGGCCCAATTTTGGCGCGAAAAATACACGAAGCTTTCAAAAAAGCAGGCATACCATCGACACTCGATGAAGAAAGAGGATGGGACCATGGAGTGTTTATACCGATGATGTTAATAAATCCTAAAGCCGACGTCCCTGTAATTCAGGTGTCCATACTGAAAAACCAAAATGCGTCTCAACACTTCGAAATTGGCAAAATATTGTACAAATTTAGAAAGGAAGGTGTTGCCATATTTGGTTCAGGAATGTCGTACCATAATATGGACGAATTTCGAAAAGTAGAAACAGATAAAAATAAATTCGAAAAAGTTATTGCAAATGAAGAATTTGATCAATTTTTGAATGATGTGTGTACAGGAGACGAGGAGAACCGTAAGAGAATTATAGATTGGGAAAAAGAAGAAGGAGGTTTAGAGAGTCATCCGAAAGGAGAAGCCGACCATCTTATGCCATTAATTGTAAATATTGGGGCAGGTGGAACGCGGCCGGGAAAGAAAATATTTTCTTCAGCTTTTTACGGAATATTCCAATTGAGTGGTTTTATATGGGAGTAAAATTGGTACAAAAGCTTTTATAAGATGTAACAAAATAACTATAGTATATAATAAAATATAAGTACTAATTATTTACTTCTGAATAGAACGTTAAATAGTATCCGATTATTTGCGTCTAAGTTGTCGCTGTGTGTTAGCTGTGTTGCCGCTGTCACAATACCTCAGCATCCGATTCGATACTGGCGCAAAGGTTGGTGATTGCTTTTCAAAGCAGCAATGCAGACAGTGGGATGGGCACTTTTCCACCGTAAATATCAGGGATGGGTTTATAATTTATAAAGTCTCCCCGATCGATTAAAACTTTTTTTTTTGTGAATTTGCTCGTTCTTGTCTGCGTCTGTAATATATTTTTGTAAAATTTATTTATAAGCATGTACTGTAAATAATGTATACAAATATGAATAAAGAAAAAGAAAAGCAAAAGAAAGTCGGACTGTTTGTTTTAGTTGTTCAGTAATGCAAATACCTACTCCAGCTAGACAATCCATCATCATCATCATCACCAGCCTTTAATAGTCCACTGCTGGACATGGGCCTCTCCTTAGAAAGGAGGTTTTGGCCTACTATACCACGCGGGCCAGACGGGTTGGTATAGGGTTTGTGTAAAGTTTTCCTTCTCTCTGCAGTGCTGGTGTCCTGCGTCGTTTTGCGCCCTTAGTCGGCTTTTACGACACCCACGGGATGAATTGGGGTAGTGAAATTCCGTATTCTTAATCCGTCATTACACGGAGCTAGACAATTATAAAATAAATAATATAAGATTATTATACAAACGTGTAGAAATTGGATTTGAGATAATTATTTCGCATACAAAACCATAAAGAAATGAAAGCATTAAAAATACATCGTTTGCCGACTTCAATTTTTTTTAAATGCTGGAACTGAGAGAAGCCATTTCATCTGCTTGTGACTATGACTTTATGACTATTTTACTGTCACATTTTATTTGTTTTGAAACTGATTATGCTATCAAAATTCATATCCAGAAATCTATGTATATAATGACGTGCAGTAATAAGAAATATGGGGATTATTTTCTCATCCCCATATTTCTTATTATTAGGTATGTTAGTTTTTTAAGCACATGTGTGGCTGCCTGTGCCTATATAACAAATAATATATTCTTTTGGTTGATGTTCAAAAAACGCGCCTTAAATAAGTTTTCACTTCAAAAATAGTTTACCGTGTATGCCGTCCTGTCCAAATTTTAATTACTTACTCAGTTTGTTGATCATTTTAATCTTATTCTTATAGGCAGAACTTTTATTATGGAAACCAGACTGCTTATGCACATAATACACACATACATCTATACAAATAAATACTATTGGAGTGTCTGTTTGTAATATTAAAATTACCGATTTTTACTAAATGCATATGTATGTTTACACGGTACAAATGCAAAAAATATATTTTTACAATGTTTGTATGTATGTCTGTCTGTTTGTTCCGGGTAATCTCTGCAACGGCTGGACCGATTTCGACGGGACTTTCACTGGCAGATAGCTGATGACATAAGGAGTAACTAAGGCTACTTTTTTTAGACTAGCTTCGCCCCGCGGCGTTGCCCGCGGTTATAACAACAAACGCGGGTAACACCGCGAGTCTCAGCTAGTATAATATAAAACTATTTGTCAAGGGTCGCTTGGCGGTCGAATTTCGATTATTTTGTATTTTTCATGCCTTATATCATTGACCAGTAGGTAGGTATATCTTGAACGGCCATTGTGTATACAACATAATATGCATATTTGACATGCAAATATACCAATTACCGGTTTAATAAAAATCCAATAACACCAAGTAACAGGCTAATTGGTTGAGGTGACCTCCATTGACGTGTTTGCATGTGATTTAACACAAATAATTAACCTATGACTAATACTCGTAATACATAATTATACGAATCAATGATAACAAATGCAGTATTCCGGGTGAACACTAGGAGGGCGTGAATTTCACTCACGAGAAGGGCCATCTGTAAGCCGTAGATGGCCCGGGGTCCGTTGGAGTACCAGGGATTTCCTTTCTAGGTTACACCTAATTCTTCAGCTACTGGTACCTAAGACAGCGTGCGGTTTTTAGTCGGGCGAGAGCGTGAATAAAGGGACAGAATGCGATATTGTTGTGTCGAGTTGTGTTGAGCGTTTTAATAAAATCGACTAGTAGGACAACCTAGATCAACATACAGTTGTCTTATTTCTAAACACCACCAAGTATTTACACCCAGTTGAGATCAACAGTGCAAATACCAAATTCGGTACTTAACACTAAGCGTACAAGAAAAAAGCGACTTCATTTTATACTATGTACCTAAAGATAATGTTATAAAGCTAAATAGTTTGTTTGCTTTTGGTTTGTCAGGCATCTCAGGAACTACTAAACCCCACCCCACTTTTCATCGATTTATTTATATTTATTTCGCGATTTATTTGTTTCAAGAATTACGCAAAGGGTGACAATAACTTCCGCAACCAATTAATAATGTTTATGCAATAGACTACCATGACTAAAAGGTTTTTGGAACGAAGTTCCTTATCGCGCGTTGTGAAAGGGGGCTAGACGGAAAAAAATCTCACGAAAAGTTGTAACGACACTTTTTGCTATAGTAAGCTATTGTAAGCTGTGCGGCGTGCGCATGTTTCTCTGTCTGTCTCTCTCTCTCTTATAGAAAGCAAGCCAGATATTTTCGTTTTGTGTTTCTATTTTTACATTATATTTGTTAATCATAAAAAAATAAAATATCTTAAAAAAAAAAAAAAAAATTACAATTCCTTCACTAATTAATAGAAAGGAACTTCGTTCCATCCGGGTGTCCCTTGACACCTCAAGTTTTTTATTACAAAATGGACGCAAACGAGCAGACGGGTCTTCTGATCGTAAGTGACTACCGCCGCCCATGAACATCTACAACTCAGAGTCACAAGTGTGTTATCAGTCTTAAATTCCCCCAACTAGAAACAGGGGCAGGATAGGGCTAGGGCTAGGATTGGGCTCCGGTAACCTCTAGTGAGGTATAATAATTAATAATAATATTTCGGACATCGCACATAACGCCATCTAGTTTCAAACTAAGCAGAGCTTGTACTATGAAAACTAGATTGACTGATAGAATACTTTTATACTTTTTTATTGTAAATAAGTACATATTATACATAGAAAACACCCAAACTCCGAAATAAATATTTACAGATCATACAAACATTTGGTCCGACCCGGGCATCGAACCCGAGACCACGGTGAAGCAGCATACGCTACCACTGCACCACCGAGGCAGTCACTCTGTGAATAGAAACGAAACAATTACTTAAAACCTGTTTTTTCTGAAGCCGTGGCATAACTGCGGTCACGGAGGCCCATTTGCATGATAATAAATTAAAAAGTAAAGTTCTGTAGTTATTAAAATTGTTATAGATAGATACCGATCGTTGCTACAAATTTAATAAGCACATATAAGCATGATTAATAATAATTTAAGTAACAAAACAGGCGAGGATTTAATTTCCATAAAATAAAATTAAAGGATTACCACATTTCAAATGTTCGTATAATGACAACAGACTGAACTAGTAAGTGAAATTATTAATTAGTTTTTACAGTAAATGGCTGTAATAATAAAAACAGAAGTAAAAGTAAGGAACATATTATCGAAATTATGTAATTTATAAGTATGATAGCTCATCCGCGCAACATCGTGGGACTCTAAAAAGAAATTATTATACTGTCTTTGCAATATTTTTACACTAAATAAACTTCACAGTGAATTTTATTTGAAAGAGGAATAAAAATATTGGCCTATTGGTCTAGTGGTTAGTGACCCTGATTGCTACGCCGAATAATTGTGAGAAGAGCACGATTGCTTGTTCTGTGTCTGGGTGTAATTTATCTATAATATGTATGTACTTAGAAATAAATAAATATGTTTATCAGCAGTCTGGTTACCATAGCACAGGCTCTGCCTAGTTTGGGAGTGTGTGAGATGTGTGAAATCATAATTATATTTAATTATTTATTTCACAGTAAAATATAGAATGAAAAAAATGAAGTTTATTTGGTGTACAATAATTATAATTTTATATACATAATATCGATACTACTAAACGTCCTAGTCCGGTAGGACCACGGGTACATAGTGGTGTACCATACCAGTCGGTCAAACCGGTTGGACCACGGGCCCTGAATGCACTGGGGTGTCGTTTATAATTTTTTTTTGTGGTGTATCAGTGGTGTCGTTTACAATACACAACAAGGCCTACGGATCCTAAACAATGCAGAGTCTGTACTGTGGTAACCAGACTGCTGATTAACATACTTATAAATTCCTAAATACATACCTATTATATATAAATTACACTCAGACAAAGAACAAATGATCGTATTTGTCGTGGGTGGGAATCGAACCCACGACCTCCGTCGTAGCAGTCAAAATCACTATTAAATAAACCAACAGGCCCATCAAGATGTATACTTACAAGAACTCGTATCGAGATAAGCCACAAGCGTCGACAGCTTCTAAGAAGTGCTGTTCATCTATCTGTATCTCAATGATGAAGTGCTGCAAAGATTTCTGTAATGAGACCAGCATCCATGGATTCAATCACATAGCAGCGCCAAAGCGGCATTGGCTTGAACGGTGAGACTTCTTATATACCTACAAATAAACAAACTCAAAGCTTTCGGGGTGCAAATGAGCATTATGGGTAAAAACGGTCCTTCTTTACTCAAAATCGTAAATCTCGAGAACGAAAAGAGATAGGACGATAAAAAAATTTGGAGCTTGTAGTTAATTGAATGTAGATTATAGGAAAATTAAGACAAACATATGCAAGTTGTTCCCTAACCTAAAAAAAAGGTTAAATTTCGGCGAAAATGGCTGTTTTTGTATTCCACATCGTCAATCTTTTGAACAAAAGAAGATAGGCTGATCAATATAACTTTTTGGAGCATTCGAATTTGGGTTAAAAAAAAAATCAAACATCGTCAAGTAGTTTCCTAACCTACTAAATATTTAAAATGGCGATCAAAATAAATACTTACATGTAAAAATCGTAATTGATAAGAACAAAATAAAGGCAGGACGATAAAACTTGTTTGCACGTATAGCTTCTTGAATTCGGGTTTCACTGGTATAGGGTTTGTGTCAAGTTTTTCTTCTCTTTGCAGTGATATTGTCCTTCGTAATTTAGTTACTTAGTCGGCTTTTACGACACCCAAGAGATGAATAGGGACATATCTGTTTATAGCATCAATCTATGTTATAGTAATAGGTGTACATTAAAGCATATTCTATCTATCTATTTTTCTCCCACTGCTATCGCCAACTACTAAACTATCAGTCGGGTCTAGTCATGATCCCTTTCCTGTTAATAATGTTAGTTAGAGTTTAATTTTACTCCAAATTTGTAGCCTCCTTTGGTTATGTGCATGCGGCCTTGCCATATGGATGGCCCTGAACGTCTCCATAGGACAACTCCAGCGATACAACGAGAGTCCCACAGTGGTGACGCTGGAGAAGGACTTCAGATCCTGGCAGTTCAGTATGCCTGCCATCACTTGTTGCTATGAAGTAAGTGGTAGGAGTAAAGTAAAATTATAGAAGTACCCAACATCAATCGTTGCGCAGCGATCCAGAGGTATTATCATGTAGAATGTTTTCTAGAAGTAAGTGAGATTTTCTATGTTTTGTTCACGTTTTTTAATAAAAAACTATCTCCCGCACAAGAAAAATTTATCCTGTGTCCCGAGAAACTTTATAGACATTCATGAACAGGACACAGATATCACCCAGACTCAGAATATCAGTTTGTGGATCACACAAAGTGTTGTCTCATGTGGGTATCGAACTTTGCAAAGCGTGACAGCTAGTATGATATAACGCTGATGATTTGTCCTTTTTAGGACCGCATGGATCGGGCTAAACTTCCTGGCGTTATAAAAGAGTATTGGAATATTGAAGCAAATGACGAGAAATATGATTACTACACCAGGTACGTAAAAAAGGAAAGAAAAGACAAAAAATGGATACTTATTATATGGATTAAAATTAAATAAGAAAAGTAGAATACGTTAGTTTCGAAAGACCGATCTTGCGGTTTGTAATACCCGTAGATGGATTAGGGTTTCAAGTTTATTCTGCATCAACTCGAAGTTGCCCGGCTGAGTGAAAGCCGTGTGGCATTTTCCTCGAACATTCATCTACATATATTTGATTTTACCGATTAACACTATCCTACTTATGTTTATAGCAACCCTAAACCGTCAAGGTATTTGTTTCATTACTTTGTAAGATATACAGATAACATCCATACATAAATACGGATCAGATACAGTAGGTATCTCCTATATCAAGTCGATTAAAGTCGGCGTCGACAGGGGAAGTATACATATTTTGATAAGTTTATTCCTCGGATTAAATGGTTGAAGGGGGAATTAAAGAATGAAGCGAACTTTCGGTCACAATCACATTACAGTCAACATTAGATGGATGTTCAATACTTTACTACAAAAATACCTTTTATGACGAAGGTATTTTCGTAGTAGACTAGGTCAGGAGAATTAACCTTGAGATAAACTTTTATAGTTTTCATCCTCAACAGCCTTTAGTAGTCCCCTGCTGGATACTAGACATAGGCAGGACAAAGCCTTAGAAAGGAGGTTTAGCCTACTATACCACGCTGGCCAGACGGGTTAGTATATGGTTTGTGTCAAGTTTTCATTTCATAGTTTTAATAAATATTAAAACAGGAAAAGATTAACCCTACTAATATTAAAAGGTATTTTACAATAACCACGTGTTTCCATGCATTGCATAGGTGCATTGTGTGATTGATAAATCATCTACCCACCATCTAACACATCTGTAGCGTCAAATATATCTGTCAGTTTGACAGGATGATTGTTTAATTGACAGGTTTGTCAAAGCAGTGGCCAACTCTGACATCTTGAATCTTCAGATGTTTGAACAGTTTCAAGATATGCAGATGAGCGTGGACATGTATCAGATAGCTGTCGATGTGAGTTTTGGAAGATGTAATTCTTTTTAGTCAGAAATGGGTTTAGTATTATGAACGAAATATTTTTGACGCGGAGATACAGATTCTGGCTCAATTGATTTAAATTTATTTTAAGAGAACATATTTTATGAATATATATATATATAATTAGGTTTCACATCAACAGCCTTTAATAGTCCACTGCTGGACATAGGCCTCTCCTTAGAAAGAAGGTTTTGGAATACTAATAACTACTTTGACTACTGATAATTAGGTTTATCAGTAGTCTATTACCATAGTTCAACTGGCTCACTGGTCAGTCAGAGTCACTGCTAAGCCAGAGGTGTTGGGTTCGATTCTCACCCAAGGCAAGTAATTGTGTGATGAGCGTGATCATTTGTTCTGTGTCTGTGTGTAATTTATCTGTAATATGTATCCATTTGGCAGTTTATAAGAATGTTTATTACCAGTCCGGTTAAGATAAAACAGGCTCTGCCTAGTTTGGAATCTGACGGCCGTGTGTGAGATCTGTGACATTATCATTAGGTATATGTAAAAAATGATTACATGTAAAAAAGGAGAAAAACACATAGTAATAGAAGTCTAATTCCCGTTCCATAGGTAAAGTTTTAATACCTGTTCCATAGGTAATGCCTGAAGTGAACATCAAAACAGTGCCTTCAGAAGCCGGTGATTGGAAATGGTGGCCGGTGATGACGGAGGCCGGCGTTTGTTACGTAACGAATTCTTTGGCACTAGCTGATGTGGCCATCGTGTTAGTACTCATTTTTCAAAATATTTGGGTAATAGTGTTTTACTGGGATTGGGAGCACGTAGGTATTTTTTATGGTTAAGGCTGCCCATGGAAACTATCTATTTTGTTGACGTCAACCGTCAACGAAAAATTCCCCTTCGAATCTCCTCAAGGACGTAGGAGCTAAGAGTATGTGCTGTTTCTACTAAAACCTCCTTGGCTGCATGATCTTTTGAACTTATTTACACATCACATCAACAGCCTTTAATAGTCCACTTCTGGACATAGGCCTCTCCTTAGAAAGGAGGTTTTGGCCTACCATACCGCGCTGGCCAGACGGGTTGGTACAGGGATTGTATCAAGTTTTCCTTCTTTTTGCAGTGCTGGTGTCCTGCGTAGTTTTGCGCCCTTAGTCGCCTTTTACGACACCCACGAGATGAATCGGGGTAGTGACATTCCGTATTCTTAATCCGTCACTACACGGACATTTGAACTTATTGTGTTTTTATAAATTGTTCTTACAAGACCTTTGAGTTTTACTTTCAGTTTTCACTTTTGCTTTTTACAGGAAACCAAATCAGAGTGAGACGGCCTCATCGCCAGTAATGTGCAAGAATTCTGCAAATAATTGTTACATCGTGGTGGACAACTACGCCGTTGCTAAAGTTTGTATAAGTCTTCAATTGGAAGAAATTCATCTTGAATTCAATTGTTATCTGCGTTACTCATCTGTTCATCTCTGTTGCTTATGTGTTCATCTATCAGTACCCTCCCATTTTTTTATCTGTTATTAGCCTCGGCTTTACTTAAATTCTCGGTGTAAGATGGAGTACCTTTGTTGGACATAAACGTGTACATAACCTTTCCCACTGCGGCTACTGGCATTTGTATGTAAAATTTCATGTCGATCGATAGTGTGGCTTGAAAACGTTACAAACAAATAAATACTTTTAGTTAGGATATCATCAAAGTAACTAGGTTCGGCAGTCTGGTTCCCAATATTTGGTTTCTTAAAATTTTAATAATATGACTATGTCGTCCTTTATTAAAATGAAAAATCAGTTTTAGAAAAAAGACTGTCATACAGATTTACATACGACTTAATAATTTAGTCAGGATTATTACACAGTGCTGTAAGTTCTAAATAATTGCAAATATTCTGATTTTCTAGTAAAAATACTTGCACGAAATGCTTTGGATAACAACCTATTCAACTCTATTTTCTCCTATTCTCTGTTTCTCTCCCCCCAGTATTACGTACATTCTCCATACGACGTCATGGATGCGACCAGCGTGCCGTCCGTAGCATACTTGTCTCTCACGAGGGAATCTGAGTTGAGCACCATGGAGAGTAGGTGCGGTCGAGGTGTTAGGGAGCTACATCCTAGGAGGCGAGGTTGCTTATACACTGACGAGCCTATTCGAGAAGGAAGAAAGGTGAAGGTTGCCCCATTTCTTATCTTTTCGTGTGAATGTAGTATGAAAATATTTTTTACCAGCTGACCCGCGCAACTTCGTCTGCGTCTCTCAATAGTAATAAATTTTCTCCGTTTTTTAAACATTCTTCATTGGTGTTCCGCTCCTATTGGTCTTAGCGTGATGATATATAGCCTATAGCCTTCCTCGATAAATGGGCTATCTAACACTGAATTTTTCAAATCGGACCAGTAGTTCCTGAGATTAGCGCGTTCAAACAAACAAACAAACTCTTCAGCTTTATAATATTAGTATAGATGACAGTTGTGAGATTGAGAGTTGATCGAAACTGAAATTCAACCGAATTTTTATCACGAGAATTGGCCTTCTGACTTACTGGTTTTGCGTGCATATTCATGCTTGATATAAATATATACTTTAAGAAGTGGTGTTAAGAGTTATTTTCCGATGTAATTTTTTTTGCTGGAATAAATTTCACTTTGAAATGTCGCTTATCAATATAAACTATATTTTGCAGGTGTACAGTACGAACTCTTGTCGTTTGACCTGCAGGAGTGGAATAGCGAAGAAGTTGTGTGGCTGTATTCCTTTCTATTATTTTTATGAAGGTAATCTATATATATACCTATAAGAGATTTCCACGTATATAGTCACTCATCACGATATCTCTGGAACATTAGAGCTAAAGACTTGAAATTTGGTAGGAATATTAGGTCAGCTAAGAACGGATTTTAAGAAATTAAAAAAAATAATAATATATATTTAAATAATGTAAATAGCAAAACAACGTTTGCAGGGTCAGCTAGTCTAATACTAAATCTAAAGGAATCTAAAGGTAATCTAAAGGTAAAGGTACACACCACATAAAATTATTTGCCCTGAGTGACTGAGTCATCAACGCAGAGCCTAAAGCGCTGGGGTGTCGAAGCAATCATATCACATCACATCACATCAATAGCCTACAATAGTCCATTGCTGGACAAAGGCCTCTCCTTAGAAAGGAGGTTTTGGCCTATTATAGAACGCTGGCCAGACGAGTTGCTATAGGATTGGTTCGAAGTGTTTCTTCTTTCTGCAAGATATGCAAGGTTTACTAGTCGGCTCTTACAACGCCCACGGGATGAATAGGAGTGTTAAAGAAACACCCTATTTTCTTAATTCGTCACCATACGGACAATGGTAACATCAACATACAATATCTTCTTTCTTTTTAAAAAATAAATCCTTTATAAACATATATGAAACGGACACAAAGAACACCCAGAATCAGAACAAAAATTTGTGAATCACACAAAATGTCGTCCCATGTGGGGATAAAACCCACAGCACTCAGCGTAGCAGTAAGTGGCGTGGCGACCGCTTAAACCAATACGCCACCCGTGCAGTCAATCTAAAATATTACATCGCCATCTAACGAAGACATGCCGTACTAAATAGTAAATTCGCTTCTTCCAATTAGCTTCCCAACTTCAATCTTTCGATCGTGATAGGTTACGCCTGTTCATCTAACCTGGTATGAGTTTATGTGATTCTAGGGTAGTGAAGATTCGTTACTCTCTCTTATTTGACTGGCCTGTTGTTCTAGTGGTTAGTAACTCTGACTGCTAGGCCAGAGGTCGTGGGATCGATTCCCAAATAATTGTGTAATGAGCACGATCACTTGTCTGTCTGTGTCTAATTTATCTATAATATGTATGTATTAAGAAGTATATAAGTATGTTTAGTATATAAGAAAACTACGCAGGACAACAGCACTGCAAAGAGAAGTAAAACTTGAAACAAACCCTATACCAACCCGACTGGCCAGCGTGGTATAGTAGGCCAAAACCTTCTTTCAGGGGAGAGGCCTATGTCCAGCAGTGGACTATTATAGGCTGTTGATGATGATGATGATTGATGAAGTATGTTTATCAGTAGTCTGGTTGCCATTGTAAAGGCTCATCCTAGTTTAAGATCAGACTGCCGTATTTAAGATCTGTGAAGTTTATACTCTTACCACTTAAAGGAATCTCTTCTATTTTATTCCTGTTTCCAGGTGGTCCTATATGCACACCAGCAGGAATGTGGTGTCTCTCTTTCTTCGCCCAGAACATAACCAGTAACAACGGAGAGAGGTGTACGTGTGCTCCGCAATGTGTCGACAGTGTGTTCAAAGAGATCAACAAAAAGGATCAAAACTGGTTTGATACATATTTGTTTTTTTATATATTTTATCTGTAATATGTATTCTTTTTCTAAGCCTTTTTCCCAAGCTTCGATTATTTACGCGGAGCGACTGCAATCAGACCTCCACAAACCGAGTACTAGGCGATATCGAAGTTCTGTAGAATGACTGTAACGGACTTATTAGGGCTGCAAATACCCATAACGATTGCCAAAGATGTTTGTATACCAACCAGTACCGATGGCTTCATGTGCTCTTATCCAAATATGTATATATTTATAAATATATGACGTACGAGCTTTTAATCGCGACTTTGTCCGCGTGGTGGCTAATACAAACAATCAATCAAGATCACAAATCAAAAGAAGAACCTGATTGTCTAACTGACTGATTTACCGATCAATGATTGATCGATCAACCTTCGTAACTAAAGATTAAAAGGTAGGTCGTAAGGTGACACAATACAATAGTTCTTGTTTGAAGGGATTCAGTTTAATTTAAAACACACAGAACATTTAACCATCAGTTTTCATAGTGTAACCTTAGCCTTAGTAAAATTTGCATGAAAAGTTTTTCGACTAAATACTGCTAAACCTTCGCTCCGAAATTACTTTTAAGTACACACTTACATCGTTTGAAGAACATTTATGCAAAACTTTATGCTTCTAGACCGAGTATTTTCAGCTGTGCGTTAATCAATCAGACAGTGAATCGTCAATCATCATCAACAGTCTTTACTAGTCCACTGCTGGACATAAGCCACTCGGATACGGACGGGTTGATATAGGGTTTGTTTCAAGTTTTCCTTCTCTTTGCAGTGCTGTTGTCCTGCGTAGTTTGCTCCCTTAGTCGGTTCTTACGACACCCACGGGATGAATAGGGGTGGTGACATTCTGTATTCTTAATCCGTCACCACACGGATAAGTCACAGTCAATCAATTTATGACTTTAAATCATCATTATCAATAGCCTCTAATACTTCACTGCTGGACATAGGCCTCTCATTAGAACGGAGGCCTTGGCCTACTATACCACGCTGGCCAGACGGGTTGGTATATGGTTTGTGTCAAGTTTTCCTTCTTTTTGCAGTGCTGGTGTCCTGCGTTGTTTAGCGCCCTTAGTCGGCTCTTACGATACCCACGGGATGAACTGGGGTAGTGACATTCCGTATTCTTATTTCTTAATCATTTTATATATATAAATATAAATGTTTAGAAGTCATAAAGAAGAAGTAGACCAGTTGTTGAAAAAAGGTCGTCACAAAAATATGTAAAGAAAACTACTGCCTTTTTCAGGGACAAGCCCCCATTTTCCTCCCGTAGCTCTATAAAGTTTGTGGTTCAAGGACCAAGGACACGCTACACCAGAGAAATTGTATTCCACTTCCAGGATTTAGTTGGTGAGTTTTCACTGTGTAATAATAGTATTTTCGGACATCTAACACTCAATGCCATCTAGTTCTTAACTAAGCAGAGCTTGTATTATGAAAAGCAGATTGACTGACAGAATACTTATATTTTTTTTTTGTAAATACATACATATTCTACGTAGAAAACGCCAGAACAGAATATTTGCAGATCATACAAAGATTGACTGGTGGCCTATTGACTGCTGCGGTAGGGAATAGACTGGCGACCTGACACATTTAGGGAAGTGTTTTCCCCTAGGATAAAGCTTGATTAGACATGGTGTCAATTCGGGGAGGACCTGAAATTACATGGTCCGAGTCCTCCCAGAGTACTGTGTAGGGCACCTGAGGCCGTCCGTCAGGGTGGTTTTTAATGGAATCACCACATACATCTGGCTCATGAGTCCCCGAGGAGGAGGAGAAGTGTCTCTTCCTCTTAGAGCTAAGGAGGTAACCTGAGTAAAAAGCAACGAAAGACCTGCTTAACACTATTTTTGAGAGGCCGTTATATCACTCCAGTTGATCTGGCGCATGTGAGGTCACGCATGGCCCTTCAACGATAAAAGAATAACTTAAGAAAATCTATGCGAATAAGTCATGAATTATGTCTTTTTCAATTAAGTTTCAACCTACTGATTTAAATCTATGAACACTTAAATTTGAGGCACTAGAAAAATATATACGAGTAATATACATTATGTATGTTTAATTTTCAGTGTCCTTCGGAGGAGCTGCCGGCCTATTTCTGGGAGCCAGCTTCATTAGTTGCATAGAAATTCTATACTTCTTTCTGTCTAGGCTCTTTTATACAACTTTCAAGAAGAATGAGAAGAATCAGAAGACTACCGCAGTGAAGGTATATAATAATAGATAATATTTTACGAAATATGAAACTTTGCGTAACTTAGACCAATACTACCAATACCTACCTAGTCTTTTTTAAGAATTCATCGACATCCTTTACTAGTCCACTGCTGGACATAGGCCTCTCCTTAGAAAGTAGGTTTTGGCCTACTACACCACGCTGGCCAGACGGGTTGGTATAGGGTTTGTGTCAAGTTTTCCTTCTCTCTGCAGTGCTGTTGTCCTGCGTAGTTTTTTACCTTAGTCGGCTCTTACGACACCCACGGGATGAATAGGGGTGGTGACACTCTGTATTCTTAATCCGTCACCACACGGCATACTGATTAACATAGCATAATATAATTATAATTAAACCTACTAGAGGAGGCAGCCATAATTCACTCGTGGCTGTCTCCTCAGGCTCCGACCGAGGAGGTCGACGTGGGGGCTGGTCGCTTTCGCGATGCGATTACGCATATCTGCGATGCGGCCATGCCCCGCATTCGAGGTCGTCGGCCTCCAAGGAAGGAGTTCTACTGGTGGTCCCAGGAGCTGGCGGACCTCCGTGCGGCCTGTACACGTGCCCGGAGGTCCTACACGCGCAGTCGGCGGCGTCACCGTGGAGACGGTGAGGAGGACCGGCTTCATGAGGAGTACCGACAGGCGCGGAAAACTCTGAAGCTGGCCATTAGCCGCGCCAAAGAAGAAAAGAGACAGGAGATGCTGGAGGGTCTTAATCGTGACCCCTGGGGTCGCCCTTACCGCGCGGTGCTACAAAAGCTCCGCGCGTCGGGCCCCCCCCTTCCTCTCAGAAAAACCCTTTAAAATTTTGCCCGGTCCGGGAATAAGGCAGCGCTTTTTCGCGAACGAAGTCGTGGGTACCAGCTAGTCTATTATAAGTTCATTTGGGAAGGGAAAAAACTACGCAGAACAACAGCACTGCAGAGAGAAGGAAAACTTGAAACAAACCCTATACCAACCCGTCTGGCCAGCGTGGTATAGTAGGCCAAAACCTTTTTCTAAGGAGAGGCCGATGTCCAGCAGTGGACTATTAAAGGCTATTGATGATGATGATGATGAAGTTCATTTGATGTAATTTATCTATGTTTAAATGTACATATTTTCTTCTTTCTTACAACTAATAAGTAGATGTTTTATTTCCAGAGTAAACTTCACACTACCGCCCACGAAACCTTTCGCGTAGAACACCTGAACGCTGTGCTGGATTCGCAGAAAAAGTATCAATATGATGTAATGTGATAATTTTATGTTAAAATTGACTGATGTTATTTTAAGCTGATATTATATTCTAACTTTGAAAAGAATTTTGTTTACTAAATATTAATAAAACCCACTTTCAGTCTCACTCTATTATTTTGTTTTCCCTCCTCTGAAGAAGATGCGAAAGGGATCCCTTTTCCAGAATTCACTGATATTCTTTCATTCTCAAATTCACAAAATACTATGAATAAATTAATTTAATTTACGGAGAAAGGGATAAGAAGAAGAGCCTTTTAGAAGAATAGCCGCCATAAATGCACCTTCCTCATTCTTGCTCAGCAATCGCCCAATTGGTCGACTGGCAGAGAATGCCTTAGGCATTAAGTCTGCCGATGAATGTACTTGTGCAAAACTTATAAATAAATTACTTTTTTTATGGCATAGGTGATAGGTGGCAAGCAAGCATACGAACCACCTGATATTAAATGACAAACGCCGCCCAAGGACATTGCGACTCAAGTTTTTTTTTTCTTTTTTGTGAAATAGGGGGCAAACGAGCAGACGTGTCACCTGATGGAAAGCGACTACCGCCGCCCATGAACGCCTGCAACTCAGGAGTCACAAGCGCGTTGCCAGCCTTTGAGGAAGGAGTACGCTCTTTCCTTGAAGTGATCGTAATTACTTAACTCCAAGTAGTACCAAAAAATATTGTTTGTTTAATATTTTTAGCACAGATACTCAAACATCTAGTTTCACAGACCACATAGCAAATACTGGCCTGAGTGACGTCACGCTGACTACTAATCCGCAGGTCGTGTGCTCGATACCCACCCAGGACAAATTATTTTGTGATGAGCACCATAATTTATGTCTGGCTGTAATTTAGGTAAGCAGGTGGTAAATTTGTATTAAGAGATATAAACAGGTATGTTTATCAGCAGCCTGGTTATCATAGTACAGGCTCTGCCTAGGATGGGATCAGTCGGCAGGTTTAAAAAAAAAAATATGTTAAACAAAGTCTAAAATTTTAAACAGACCCTATACAAAGAGTGTAGCTCGGTGGGGTGGGTGAGGCAGTTGTCCCATCCTATCCTCCTGTGGTCGGTGACATAACAATTTTTTTAATTACTGCACCTAACTGATACAAAAATGTACCGCGTATTGACGTTTCACAAATGGATACTGATTTGACTTCAAAGTTAGTTCTTTAATGGGGTAGCCCATTAAAGAACTAAACTATTAAAAATTCCGAAGTTTATTTTTTGTTGAAATCTACTAATCGCATTTAAAAATAATCTTTTTACAAAAAAAAAATCATGTTCAATTTTGGAGAAAGATTACATGCTGTTTATTTAACGCCACAAGCCTTAAGACACGGCTTAAGAGGAGCGGAGCACAGGCTATAAACGCGGGGAAAACTGTAAAGCGATACCAGCACGAAATAAGTAATTTATAATAAGAAACCATTTAATTAATAGAACTTTGTGTAACACTCAAACCCAAAAACTATAATTAGCGATTTTAGAATGCAATTTTTCTCGTTTGTTGACGGAACGTTGTTGTTAAGAATACGGAGTATCACCACCCCTATTCATCCCGTGGGTCTTGTAAGAGCCGACTAAGGGAGCAAACTACGCAGGACAACAGCACTGCAAAGAGAAGGAAAACTGGACACAAACCAACTTGACACAAACAAGGTATAGTGGCCAAAACCTTCTCTCTAAGAAGAGGCCTATGTCAAGCTGTTGATGATGATAGATGACCTCAGAACGCCGTCATTAATAAACCAATTTGGAAAAATTTTTTTGTACGAGGGGTTATTCCCGTTTGGTCCCATAGAAAAAATACTATCATCACTACCATGAAAATGAAGCAATGAAGAATACATCATATTATAATTCAGCGTGATCTATGTGCATTCAAGTCGATGTTACTTTTTAAAAGTATTTATTTAATGATTTACTTTTCTTCGTATGATTTTCAGAGTTATAGTAACGCTTTCTTATCAATTAACTTTATAATTTCTTTTCCACTCTCTTTAAAGTCTCGTAGTCTATCTTGAAATCCCTGCAAGTGTCGTATCATGTCTTCATATTTCCGCAGTTTCTGCTCTTTAACTTGGGCTTCTTTGTTTTCAGCAGCTGCGGTTAGTTCAGTACTTACTCCGCTTTTAATTAACGATAAGATTTCCTTTCTTTCTTTATCGTTAATGTCCATATTCGCTTCTGGAATTAAAAAAAAACAATATTTTTTTAGTGTATTATGTGCCATATGTTCTATAAAGTTAAAACTTATATATAAAAGGCTACATGAAACTTCAAGACCCAGTATATAACCTAGCTTAGTATAAAAAACTAAACTTTGACAATCCAAGGTATTTACTGGTCATTAAAATAAGACAGTTCATTCAAAATGGGTGAAGTGATACCGGCAGGCTATGTTGATATTGCGAAATCAGTACAGCACAATGGCAGTGTATATATTGTAGAATCTTATAGGGTGTAAAGGGGTGTATTTAGACCATAATTCTGGGTCGAAAATCATTGGAATTTTCTGCCGGAAAATTAAACCTTTTATGCAATCAGCTGTCAAAGGTTAAGGTCATTCCCCGTAGTTATCGCACAAAAGTAATAATTACATTTGTATTCCCTGCAAACAGTCTACGCACACAAACACAAGTTGGCGGCCGGGAGAGGCCCCATGCACTTCGGCTGTTTCATTAATTAGATTGTAGTTTTTGACTGTATGCGGTATTTTTTTTTTTCGGTAAATTGGTATGTTTACTTATTGTGATATCATTTTTAACAGAAAAATGGAAAATTATAAAAATAGATTGATGAATTTTCCGGCAGTAAATTCCAATGATTTTCGACTCCGAAAGATGGTTTGAATACACTATTTCAGTATTCGTTACATCGTTCCTGATACCCTATATATAAAAATGCTTAGTTGGTTTGTGTACGCTTCAAACACTCTCAGTGTTCTGCACCGATTGAGCTCAAATTTAGACACGATATACAACACGCTTCAAAGATGGTTTTTATTTAACAAAATGTCAGTGTAAACGGAGGGTTAACTGCTGGCTATCACTTAGTGTAGCTATCTATTTATTTATTTTCTTATTCCTTACCTTTCCTATTCTCTACCATATTCACATACACATATAGAAACAACACACATACATACTCACACTTACACAAAACTATCAATAAAACACGTTACGTCTGGCTGTAGTACTTAACCAAGATATTAAAAAACAATGGTTTGTCTCTCTATTTAAAAAAACCGTATTGTATTGTTACACTTTATTCTAGATTTTAGATCCCCATTTTGTCCGAGTTGGAGGCCTGGAGACTTGTAACACAGGTTAAACCTAGTGCAGTCTCCACAGCATACATTGATTAATGTTAAAAAAAAATGTACTCTGTATCTGTAAGAATGTTTGTGGAGAAAATAATATAAATTATTTTTATTATGTTATCTATTTTTTTAACCACAATGTGGCAAAGCAAAACAGCTAGTAAAATTTATAAATTTACTATAAATCTACTAAATTACGTTTATTATAATAAAGTTTACCTGTTAAATATATTATACAAATTATAATTAAAATAATTGACTTCATATTTTTTCGACTTCAGAATAAGCTTGACGTGTTTAAAGTACAATTTTAGCAAAACTAAAGTTTTATTAACCATTAAAATGCACATAAATTAATTTATAGCTCAGAGCGTGTAATTGAATAGTTTATAGTATCGTAGTAATTAGAAAAAGTAGTAAAGGAAAATAATGGTGGAAATTTGTCTAATGGTTAGTAACACTTACTGCTAAGCCGTCGTGGGTTTGATTTAGTTAGTGGGTTTGGTTAGATAGTTTGTTATATGTATGTACTTATGCCATTATCTTTTTATTGGTAAGCTTGCCTTTGGGTCACTGTTGCGGCGTTTTTCGCTTACGGTTATCGTAAACAATCCACTTTTCGTCACATGTCACAATTTGATCCAATATTCCTTAATTTCTGTACCGATTCAACAAAACAACACAAGTTTGACTCTGAATTGAAGGAGATGGTGGCAGCTGTTCCACCATCTCCTTTAATTCAGCGTTATTCACCTGTATCGGCAGTCTTCCACGTGGTTCGTTCTTTAAGTCGAAGTTACCATTATGAAAGCGTTTAAACCAAAAACGTTGATATTGTGAGCCGTTTCTGCTGCGTTAGTTCCGCGTCGGACCTCGTATCACTAAAATAATAATAATTGAAAGTTGAAAATCGAAGGGGGGGGGGGGGGGGGGGGGCAAAAACTCATGTGATTGGAATCGAGAACGCCTAACATATGATGCATAAGGTGCTCGTATCCTTGCCTTACCAACATCCCACGTCTTCCGTGTGTGAACTGACAGATGTCCTATCTCTTGGAAAGATACTTCGATACGTATGAAATGCTACGACGATACCACAAAAGAGTTATTCCTCGCTTACCTGTCTCACAAAGACGTATAGAACGATGCCCTGATCCTCGCACTAAGTCGACATTGGCTAAGAGACACACTAATTTCTTGGCTCCTCATGTGTATAATAAATTTAACAAAATTGGGAAGTATGTAAAATAATTATAACTTTATAATAGTTTTAACTGCGTGGTTAAAAACCATAGATTAGCGAAGAGAATCCGTAGAAGAATCAACGATTTCTTTGTAGCACAAGATATAAAACAAGCAGGCACACACACACCCGCACACATACACACAAATACCCACGCGCGCAAACACATGCACGCACCCATAGCTGCACATACATACACATGCAAGCATACTATGTCATGTAAGGATTTTTTTTTTTTAATTTTTTATTTATTTTCTCTTTCTTCTTGTATGACATTGATGTAAATACTATTCCTAGTACATAATATATTAGGGGGAAGACACTGACACCTGCAACACAGTCTATACTAGCGCAGGTGTATAAAATTTATGTCAATGAAGAATATTATTATTATTATAACAATATGTATGTCTTTAGAAATATTGAAGTATGTTTAGTCTAGTTACGACGTTAGTTACGTGCAGACAGTACAGGCTAGTTTAGTTTGAGATCAGGCTGCTGCGTGTAAAGATATGTGCAGTTTTAATTTATATTATTTAAAATATATATATACATTTATATATATTTTTATAATTATATATATATGTATATATATATATATATATATGTGTGTGTGTGTGTGTGTGTGTGTGTGTGTGTGTGTGTGTATAATTAACTGTGATTTAAATAATTTACATTTGAAAGTAAACTAATCTTTCACCTGATCATGTTAAATTTATTAATTATATTTGTATGTGTATATGTATTTCAAGGATAAGCCCGAAGAGGAAGAAGTGAGCATTGACATCACAATTCTCTGGCTGGCTCTCAACGAGGAGTGCGAGGCTATGTTGAATCCCCGAGTGCAGAGAGTATACGTGTCTTACGAATTCCTAGGATATTCTGGTGCAGATCTCGAGACCCCTGTCAGTTTGCCTAAACCCAAACACTATGTGGACAAGTGTTATTTCAATTTTAAGAAAAGTAAGTTTTGATTTTCGGATAAGACATTCCGTCTGAGTTAGTGAGATTACCGGAGCCTGAAACCTCCCCTCTCTTGTGACGCTTGAGTTGCAGGTGTTCATGGACAGCGGGAATCACTTACCATCAGGTGACCTGTATGATCGTTTGCCTCCTGCTCTATAAAAAAATGTGTTACTAAAGTTAGCCTGTGTACCTTCCTAGAACGCTTAGATGACCAAATTCATTTGTATTGAATAAATAAGCTGTACTAAACACACTCGGCACAGGCATATCATAGATTTTCATAGGTATCATGTGAAAAAAGTTTTACACGAAAATCTCATACCATGAAGGTTTTAGGTCAATTCAAAATATCTGTTACTATACAACGACGATTTCTTACTTTAACCCCTATTATTTAATTATGTTAATCAGCAGTCTGGTTATAGTTATGTTATTATGCGATACGGTAAGGTATTAAATAAAATTACTTCCTGGGTAGACTGGTATTACATTATCAGTGTATTACGGATAGGTCTATGAAACGGATTTTACCATAGAGATAAAAGCATAGAGTAAACACGGTTTACAGCTGCTTGTGAGTGGAAGCGATTAAGGCAAGGAAAGAGATGGACGCCTAATGGTTCCCTCTGTCTCTGTTTAGCTAAGCTGCGATTGGCTATCGTTTAGTGGGCATGGTTTTGATCTTGGAACAGGCGGAAGATTCGAAATGAAATTTCGCAATTAAATTGTGAGTAAATAATTCAAACATAAGCTATACAAAACACATAGCTCAAAAACTTGAGGTAAACATTTAAAAGCCGTGTAAATGTTTCAATGCACAAGAAGTAAAGTAATTGTTGGCAGAAATTCTGAACGACAGCAGGTTAAACTGAATAATATAAACTAAACATTATATAAACAATATGAGGAAATTTGTACATAAAAAAGCCTTTTAAAATTGGAACATCAAGCCTAAAAAAAACAACTCAATGTAAGAAATACTTAGTCGTTTTTTTTAGCTTGATGTGATTAACACCTCATATTCCCCAGCCAACCAGAGAGCTCAACTAGAAAGAGATAGAGGGAACTATCTAGCATCCATCTCTCTCGTTGCTTTTATTGCAGGATTGGGCCTCTTGTTAGCCGTATGCTTGTACCTTACAGTCTTACAGACAGATGAACAATGAATGACATTGTAGTGAGGCCATAGTGATGTTACAACAGTAACGATAGCATAGGCTTTGCCACGTACAGGATGAGATGACCATGTGTAAGATGTCTCAAGTTATTCTCTATTTAAAAGAAGTCTGGATACTTCTTACTTGGATGACGTCATGGCAGAATCGAATCGACTAAAACCATACGGTGTTCCATCTCAACTGGCTTTCTTACAAGTGCGGATCACTTGTAAGAAATACCATAAGAAAGAAGCCTTCTGTAAATTCAGAAGACCTTGGCTGATAGCTAAGAATACATTCGATCAAATCACATTTCAAATTGTTTTTTTTAAAGAAAACATAATAAATGTACTGTAAAGTTTAACTTATTTATTATTAGCTGACCTGACAGACTTCGTTCTGTGAGTTATCGGCCTGTCGTAGTCCAATACAAAAAATAAAACGTATCACAGAGTGATCACTTTTCTTCGAACTTTATTTTGGGCAGGCATAGATTAATATTCATACAATGAACTTGACTTTTTTGTTTCAAAACTCAGCACTATAAATCGTACGAAGCATAGTTTAGAAACAACCATTAAAAAAGAAAACCCCGACCGCGGTTTGAATTTCGAACATTAGCAGAGTTCAGTGTTTAACTGTTCGTCGTAGGGGTAGCGCGCGTCTGTTCTTGTAAACACGAACGAAAATTTACGTAGTTCGCTTCTGTCGTGTTGTTTAGTATATGTGGTTTAAATAAGTGAGTATTATATTTATTCATAACTAAGAATATTTTTTGTCTGCATCGGAAAATGCATTTCGTTAACGTTTTATCAATTGTAATAAGAATTTTAATTGTTTTTCTTTAAATTTTTATACGAAAATTTTCAGGTTAATCTGGATACAATAAACAAATTAGAGAAAATTATATGTTAGCGATTAGATGTTTAGATTTATCAAATTAAATGTATAATCTATTTAGTTAACTTGGAACCTTTTGGAATTGCAGAAAATTCACGCAATTTTGAAACAGAAAACATTTTTGTAATCAGTAAACGAAAAGATACGTCTTCATTTTCGTAGATCTCTACGAAACACCGTACGTAGCGATACAGCTGCCTACGAGATGCTACGAAATATCAGTGTCTGGGAAGAATTTAGAAGCCAAACTATTTTTTTTTTATTCATATTTTTACTCTCTAGTCTACAGAAAGTATATATATATATATATATATTTTACTTTTTAAGCGTTTTATGTGTCACTACGCTATCCCTCCATTGCCGGTCCCTTTCCGGGTACTTTCTTCTGGATGAAATATACCCAAAGTCTCTTTCTGTACCCATGACAACGTGTTTTTTTACAGTATAGGGGTCAAACGAGCAGACGGATCACCTGCAAATCAAGAGACATAGGTGCGGTGTCAAAAAAAGGGAGGGGCCCTTTTTTTCCTGTGCGGAAAAACCCTCGAATACCACCCATTTGAAAACAGCACGCCGGGGAACCAGGTGTACCCTATAGAGGAAATCTTTAGTACCCCGACGTACCTCGGGCCATCTACGGCTTGTAAATAACCCCTCCTGTGTGGGAAATCCCATGTTCCCTTTGTGTCCCCGAAAGGGAGCGCGCTTACGAGTCCTTTTATCTATCTCCTGCGAACTGTCAAAAAATATCCTATCTACTATTCCATTCCACACTATAAACTATCTCTGATTCAAATTTCGTCCAATCCGTTTCAGCCGTTCTGGCTTGAATTAGTACAAAATATCCACCTATAGTGGTTATAAAGTACAATAACCCTTTGTACTAATATTATAGTAATTATTTAATAGCGCCGGGTACAGTCCCAGTGTGTAACTGCATGATATTATCCAATTATCTGTCTGTCTATCTGTTTTATTATTTATCATCGATTCGTACGACCGTGTCCCCAGGAAAACTAATCGATTTAAAGTTTAATAACCTAATTATCGTTACTTCCATACTTATATTGTAAATTTAAAAGTGAGTTTGTTTGTTATCCTTTCTCGCCTCAACCAATAAACCTATTTAAAAAATGCTTTCACCAATGGAAAACTACATTATCAGCGAGTAACATAGGCTAATTTTACAGCGATAACTTAAACAAACGCGGGCGGAGCCGCTGGTAAAAGTTAGTACATAATAAGTGTTTATCACTGTCATCAGATTATTTGTTCTGTATGGAAATTAAACCAAATAATCACGTATCAATCATCTTTAGACCAATGCGTTCACCCATTTATTTATAAAAAAACAAATAAATTTATCCATCAAAAGTGACTTTATAACATAATTGCCTGTCACAATGATGTAGATAGATTATGATGAATGGTTCAACCCAGATACAGTCAATATTTATTACTTAAATATCATTATGTAGACAGAACAAAGTAGGACAAGAACTTTTGTCACTATTTAGATGTTTAAATTCGATAAGGATATTTTTTTTATGTAATAAAGGGGTAATCTAGCAGACAAACAATACTGACTTCAGTGTGGTGACGGATAAAGAATACAGAATTTCACCACCGGTATTCATCTCGTGGGTGTCGTAAGAGAAAAGAGCGCTGCAAAGAGAAGGAAAACTTGAAACAAACCGTATACCAGTCCTGTCTGGCCAGTGTGGTATAGTAGGCCAAAACCTCCTTTCTAACGCGAGGCCTATGTCTAGCAGTGGACTAGTATAGGCTGTTGATGATGACGAGCAGACAGGTCATCTGATGACTACTGATGATTACTACTTTCACATGTTCCGCAGACACGTTATAGTGGTTTCGTCATAGACTAAGTTAAATGCCATTAAAATCAATCAAAATTATTATCAAAATTACGAACTTCTTTTTTTAAATTCAGAACTTTCGCGAGTCTTGCCTTAGCGTGATAATAAAGTCGCAGTGGTTTTGTAAGTCATTCACAGGTGTGTTTAAATTATTTAAAAATTATATGATTGATTGCATGTGATTGTTATTTCGGTCGAGCGGGGCCGTATGTGTGAAGCTTTTCTCTCCTGCGGTGAGCCATTTAAAGATATGTAATGACTGTTAAGAGCGTTATTCCTGTTCGTTAAGTAAGTTGAGTTGCTTTTCACAGAGTGACTGACGTTACCTGAAGCCCTACGCCCCCCCCCCCCCCCTTACCCCTTAAAAGCCTGACATTTTGCAAAAGTTGCACTTGCTGTTCTTATGTATATACTCGTATATGTACTGATTAAACGATTGTTTTTTTTATTATTTAGTATTGATTATATATCACGAAAAGCGTAAGTTTAAGTTTAAACATATTTACCTGGCTTGCCCATGTGGGCGAAAGTTCCTACAAAAACACTAGAATAAAAAAATGTTTTAACATATTTACTTAATAATTATGTTATTTTTAGGTTTGAAATGGCCAAAACTACGAGTTTTTCATCAAAAGTAGCGGCCTGCGTTTTGTACGTTGTTAACTTCGTGGTAATGGTATGTACCTTACGTTTAAAATACATACATACATATACATACAATCACGCTTTTATTACCGAAGAAAAAAATACTTTTTGTAGGTTTTAAGGACTTTTAAATCAAAACTTATATTGTTATGTGTTTATATCAAGGTTAAAGATACAGGGTTAGAAACCAAGGTCCCTCTCAATGCTAGACGGTGCCATTGACACAAAGTTATGAGATTGACCTTAAGAGGGTAGAAAATTATGTGTGTATTAAAATATTACAGTCATAGGAAGACCTTTGTTATTTAAAACTTTTATTTTACGTGTGGAAACCCACTCGGGCCGTCACCAAGGATTGCCGCGGGGAGATGTGTCGGAAACCGACCGACTAAACCACGCGGTGTGATACTCTGCGCTTGTAATAGGAGG